GTCTATGATTCAAGGAAAATATAATGTTTAAGTTATTCTAAAACTATTCTGAAATAATATTTAAATTTTTATCTTTATATCTGTAAGAAAAATATTTTAATAAAATTACTGAATTATGCGTACACAAAAGAATTTCTACGAAATTTTTCTATTTTTCTAAGTAAATAAGAGGTTTTTTACGCTTTCGTTCACATATCTCATTTTACGCTTAATTTTATAATTTAACAATGCAACTGTATATATTCAGCATAATAATTCAACAATGTTCTTTTAGCTATTTGTAACGATAGAAATCAGGAAGTGATATTTTCTACATGTGGAGACACTGGAATATACAATGCGTGAGAGAATAAATGCCTCCGAAAGTCAAAAGAGCGACGTCACGTTCGAGACAAACGATTCTTTTTAAAGTGTCATAACGATAATGTTCCCTTTAATGATATTTCATTTTGAGCGCAGATGCACATTTCACCTTTGCTCGCGCGTAAAGTTCATGAAATTCACAAATATCGTAACAATGATGCGCATCGCGGGCTCGCGAAGAGTGAAAGCGGCCGATTAAATTTGTTTTCTTTGCTAAAGACGCTGTTTTATGTGTGTAATAATCGTTTGATGAGAGGAATGCAACTAGACTCGATCGAATGCAATAAGACTCCGTAAAAATCAGTACGAAAAATCGGCTCACGTCTATTTTATTTCAACGAATAGCATCAATACTTTCTTTATGACTCTATAAATTTTCAATTTCTGAGAAGACGAAGAGAAGAATTTCTGAAAGGCGAAAGAGAGAGAGAGAGAGAGAGAGAGAGAGAGAGAGAGAGAGAGAGAGAGAAGAGAATGTGAACCCTGGCCTACTTAAGACTTTTACTTGCAGGTACCAGGTTCCTTCTCAAGTTTCTTCCGGAACAAGAAATTCGGAACACACAGAAAAGGAAAGGATATATTTGTCTGTGATTTAAGGTTGCTTGAGCAATTTCGAATAAAGTAATGAAATAAATTGCGTGCATTTATAGATATGGAATATTCGAATGTCAAAGTAAATCTCAAAAAAATTCGCATCTCAAGTCTTTAATTTATATCATAAATATTCGTATGTATTGATAATATAGAGAGATATATGAATATATATGTACATAATGAAAATATTCTAACACATCGCGATTTATATACAAATATTGTGATATTGTAAATATAACTTTTATTTATATAAATCTTTCTACGTAACTATTATTTATATAAACTATTTTTTGTTTACGAAATTGAGCTTCGAAAAATATGGTGTTTTGAGGAAAAAATAATTTATATAAGAATTATATATTTATATTAATTATATTTATATAAGAAATTATATTTATATAAGTATATGTGTAGTCTTTTTTCCATCAAAAAAGAAGAGAAACACAATATGTAACCGAATCATGTTTTAAAGTTGATTTTACACAAGTTGATTTTAGCAAATACTTTCAAGCGAGAATAAAACCCGTAAAATCGTGAAATTCTTTTGATGCGATCTAAGATAATAAAATTTTTGACATTTGAAAAGAATAAAAAAACATTCCTTTTATGATATGCGTGAAAGTCGTAAGGCTTCTTCAGACAATAACAGATTTTTATGACGTACACAAACTTTACTATTAATTCTTTTTTAATTAATTTGTTATATCTTTTTTTAATTTGTTACAACTCCCTATATACTCTTCTATATGTACCCTATTTGATTGCAGGAAATTACATAGAACAGTTTCCTCTACAACATATCTAAATGACGAAAAAATTGATGAAGTGTAATCTATTATACATCGAATGAAAATTAAATTTATTAAAAAAATTAAATAGCAGAAATAAGATAATCTTTTTGTGAAAACGATTACATTTTAGACATATTTGATGCGCATTTAGCGAATATATCGAAAGTGGTATTGACCGAGAAAAATGAAACGAGGGCGCGCCTCGCTAATCAGCGCTACGTTTCTTGTGAAGCCGATATGTTTGTCGACTCTTTGTCTCATTGCTAAAAAAAGTGAAACTTCACGAAATCATGAAAGTAGACAAACCAGGAAGAGAAGACGAGCAATTGTTTGTAAGGATATTCCCACAACCGGTTCATTAACGCGACTTTGACGCATCTTTTTTTCTTTATTTCAAGTGTGAACCGGATGACACAGAATATCTTTGAATTTAGCATTAATTTGAAAAATGTCAATGTTTTTAACAAATTCAAAATCAATACTCGAGGAAAATTATGAAGTAGAAGTTGTTGATTTTGATTGATATATAATATTTCAAATATCGCGTTTCTGATTAAATCTCTAATTAAAATTACGTAAAATTAAAGTCCGCTTAATAGTTAATATCTCGTTAATTGATTTGATTTTGATTTTAATAGAAAATTGATTGTAACTTGATCTCAAATCACAACTCGATCTATCATTATAATAACGACAAAAGATACTGACAGTATATCCTTGCGGATGCATTCGTTTCTACGAACATTATGCAATTGAAAGAAATCATTCGAATAATTCGCATCTCACTCAAATGATTTAGCACTTCTCGATGCAATGTAACTTAGAAAGCTGCATGTGGGAGAAAGTCGCGATGCATACGTACAGGGACATATAAAATTGTTCCGTACGAAACATAAAATACGATGTAATTAGATCAAGAATTTATACCTAGTACAGCGTCATAGATTATATAAGAGAATATCGTAGGTGTGTTATAAAAGATATTTGTAACGGCATGAAAAGAGAAACATAATAATTATATAATATTTATTGCGAAGAGAAATGGTATCAATTACATTAAGTTTTTTATCTGTTTATATAATTTAAGCTATAATAAACTAGCTATAGTAAGTTTTATATTATTTAATTAAAAATTCAAGTTCTTGCAAATTTTTTTGCATTTCTTAATTGTAATTTTCAATTGTAATGTTGCAACGTGTTGATTTTGCAACTTGTGCTTTATCTTTATGCTTCTCTTGGCTGTTACGAATAAAAATATAGATAATAAAAATATAGAATAATTGTAATTGTAATCGTGTTACTGTACAATAACTTTGCATTCTCTACTTTATCTTTATATTTCTCTTAGTCATTGCGAATAAAAATGAAAATATTTGTAATCGTGTTGCTGTATGAGCAATTTCTGTTTTATCTTTATGATTCACTTGGCCATTAAGAATAAAAAATAAAAAGAACAGAAATAAAAAATGTACTACAAGAATGAATATTTGTAAAAAATATTGATGATGTGTATTTATTATTATTATTTTTTTCATCGGACTAAGAAATTAAAGCAACTTATTAATAAAACAACTTTGTGCACAAGGTAAACAAATTGTTCCAAGTATAAATCCTTGTTGCTCCATAAAGATTTCCTTCATACGGTGGAGCAGGTTGTTTGCCTTGCACAGAAAATTGTTCTGCTATATATAACTTCAATTTCATTATGATAAAAAGATTATAATTAAAAAGATTAAAAAAGATTAATACACGGTCACAAAAATTCTTGCCCTGAATTCTTTATTTTTCTTCCATATACACGTATTTCTAATGAGACCAAAAAGATAAACAAAAATTGTAAAGTTATTATACGACAATATAATTGAATGCAAAAGACTTTAAATTAAATGACTTGGAATAATATTTAAAATAAAACTTACATAAACACCTAGAAAGTAGATAATTTAATATAATCAATGTCTCTTCTTTCGAGACTCTCATTAACTATGATCGTATTCTATTAGTAGGTAAACTATCGAGATTATTTCGTTTGTAATATCGAAATTTTGATATTACAAGTTAATTTAAAGTTAATTAAAAGTTATATAATGTATTATACGTTGTAACTTTGCCATATTGAGATAGCAGCCATTGAAGCTAATAGTTCAATAAAACTGTAATATATTTATTGAGAGTTATTAATTATTATACAAAGAAAAGTGTTGTTTTAAAAGATTAATGCTTATGGAAATGTATTAATAAGCGATATTATATATTTCCGAAATCCACGAAATAATAAAAGTCAGCCGCTTATATATATTTATATATATATATATATATAAATAGTATATATAAATTAGCTGATAAAAATGTTAAAATCACAAATGCTCTTTTAAAAAATTTTAATAAGAAGTCTTTTTTGAAGATAGTTAAGATCCATACTTTATAACTAATGCTAATATTGCGGTTATTGTGGCTAAACTTTCTATTGACATAATCCTTTTTAGTCATTTACAATATGTATAATAATTTCATAATATAAATAGAAAGAAGAAAAAAAGAAACATAAGCGATGACGATTTATCTGCCACTATATAAATAACAGTTTTATTCATCTTTATATAAGAGACTCTCAGTCTTTACAGACTAAGAATATTCTATGTTTCTACAAAGTTTCTACAAAGAGATTCCATAAAATTATAAGTTATTATATTACATTGATGGAAATTTTTTCGTTGTTTAACATTAAAAATATGTGGAAAAAAAGTCATTTTTCCAAATTAGTTTTTTTTTAATATATTATAGAAATAATTTATATAATTTACTTACATATTATATATCGATATTTTTTTTAATATCTAATAATTTTTTTTAATATCTCTCTGATGACTTTTAAATATATTCCAGCTCTTATACAGGGTCCCATGACTGAAAGTCCATACTTTAAGGGCGTGTTGCTGATGCCATTTAGAGTAAAAAAAGTCTAATAAATATATGTCCACAAATGCTTCTTAACAGAAATACAAGCATTGAAAGTTGATATGAATATGTGACGTCCTTAAAATATGGACCTTCAGTCACAGGACACCCTGTATATTATGTGTATTTTGATAAGAAAATTCTATATTTTTAGCTTAATAATATATTAAAAAATAAAATATATTTTTTAATTTATAAATAAAGAAGACTAATATAGTGTTCTAAATTTAAAATTAATTCAGAATTTCGAGTTTAAGATATTTGAGCGTAATGAATAATAAAATTTAATCTTACTTTTAAGAGCCCATAATTCTTCATTCTTTAAAGCCTCGACATACGTCGTGATATCTTTGCCGCATTGCACCCCGATGGTGTATTTTCCTTCGACCCAATTTTTTACTAAATTACGCGCACTGAAAACATCCAGCGCCTCTGACAGGCTGGTCCAATTCTTTTCAATCACATCGGTCGTCGTTGGCAAGCTTCTTACTCGGAGGATTGATTCCTCTACGTTATCATTTGGTATACCAGTAGATATCTCTTCGGCATAGATTGCGGATAATAGAAACAAAGTGACAATTAGCAAATGCATTTTACTTCTCATCTTATCCTATAAATGTTCACAGTAAAGATCGACGAGGCGCGTTTTAGAAAGAAATTTGCGCGGGCACACTAATCGTGAGTCTTTAGCATCGTCGTCAATTTAGACTTTTCGTGATCGATTGTCGAGAAGTTCCTCTTCTTTTGCGATGCCGTAAAGAGATATACGCGTCACCGGATGTTTGAAAAATCTACGAGCAAATAAAATATCGGTTCTGTGTCAGGATGCTCGTGACATTGTTGGACGGTTGCCACAGGATTGTCTCACTTGTTTCCGCACTCAGATAATTTTCGGTTGATCACGTTGTATAATTTATTGAAATGATTCAATGTTTAGAATTACATTTCTGTAATTGTCAAAAGATCTCGATAATACAATCTTCTAGGCTCATGGCAATGTTAAGACGTCGGATTTATCGCATCTGCTTTCAACAAAAAAATAAATAATATAGAAAATATATAATAGAGTCTTCTCAGGTGAATCTTTCTTTCTTGCTGGGTGATCACGAATCAACTGTACGAATGGCTTGTAGTCCGACCAATGGTTCTTGAATGTTTCGCGGCATCATGATGAAGAGAATGGTGGGGTCGAGTCTCCCTGTGGAGTGAAAACTGACAACCTTTAAACTGCGTGCAAGGTAACTCACATTCATTCACACATGTGTTAGCGCATGCTTCGGACACCTAATAATCAGAGATAAAGAGAGAGAGATATTTTTTTAGTTAATTTAATATAATTCTGTCTCTTTTTTATAACAATTTAGCAAAGTATAGTTACTGTTATACAGGGTCTACCAAAAGTGTGGAAACCCCTAAATATCTCGGAAAATATACGTTTTACAGAAAAGTGTTTCCAACAAAAGTTGTAGGGTTTAAGAAGATCTATATACTGATTCTATCAGTTTGACCTTGGATGGCGTCGTCAAGGTCAGGTCAAGGTCACATTGACTTTTTTAAATGACACCCCCTACATTTGATTGCATATTCTTATAGCTTAATTCAAGAGCTTTCCAAAACACTATAATAATGTTCATTTTTATTAAGTACTTTGCGAGTTATGAGGGTTGAAATAATTTCTTAATTTTACATAAACCATAAAATATCTAGTAAACCATTCATTTTTCGATTATCTTACCTTCATACTTTTATGTACAAAATAATGAAAGGAATCAATTGGTGTAAAGAAAACATACAGTTGTTTTTAAGAAAAAATATGGAATTGTTAATTGCAAATTACATATTTTTTCTTAGAAACAACTATGTGTTTTCTTTACACCAATTGATTCCTCTCATTAATTTGTACATAAAAGTATGAAGGTAAGATAATCGAAAAATGAATGGTTTACTAGATATTTTATGGTTTATGTAAAATTAAGAAATTATTTCAACCCTCATAACTCGCAAAGTACTTAATAAAAATGAACATTATTATAGTGTTTTGGAAAGCTCTTGAATTAAGCTATAAGAATATGCAATCAAATGTAGGGGGTGTCATTTAAAAAAGTCAATGTGACCTTGACCTGACCTTGACGACGCCATCCAAGGTCAAACTGATAGAATCAGTATATAGATCTTCTTAAACCCTACAACTTTTGTTGGAAACACTTTTCTGTAAAACGTATATTTTCCGAGATATTTAGGGGTTTCCACACTTTTGGTAGACCCTGTATACAGTATCAGTATTGCAATACCGATAAAATATTGCATCACTTATGGAAACAGAAAGATCATTATTTTAATGAACAAAAACATAAGTATAAATATTATCAAATTCTATTTTATTGTTGTTATTTTAATAATCTTATAAATAAAACAACAAGGGAAAAAGATAAAAAACTTTTTCAATATTATATTATTAATATTAATATTGTAATATATATCAATATTATTAATTAATATTATATTATGTGTTCTGTATTTCTTGGATGATACAATATTTTTAATCGATACTATATAAGAATTACTTGAATCTATAATTTTTTGCTAAAAATATTAACGTGAAAGAGTCTTTCAAAAATTCATAGTCTTATGATCAAGATGTTTGTGTATATAGAATTTAAACTTGAAATTATCATTAAAATTCTGAGGAAGTTGGCATCAATTTTTTCCGAATAGTTTTTTGCAAGAGCGGTATATTTTGTACACTTTAAACGAGACGTTTAAAAATCGTCTTGTCTCAAAACTTTCGTTCGAAAGGAGTAAACTTATGAGAAAGATATTCGAGAGTGTAAACATTTTAATGATATTCTTAGAATTGCGTGTCATTATTATCACGTTTAAGTACATTACGTAACTGCAATTCCGGTTTTGCATTTAGCATCATTTAGCGTAGGAAAAAATTGTCCGTCTTTCTACGGAAGGTCCGGATGGTGGATCGCATATCACCAAAAATTTAACGAAGTGTCTCCTTTCAATAGTGATTTTTTAAGCTTCGTAGCGATAATAATGCAGTAATAAAAACTCAATTATTTTAATTATTTTATTCAAATACGCGAAACAATCTACAGCAGGATGCGACGCGGGCTATGCTGTTTCAGGTAATGAATTGCAAAATTTTCAACGTCGTTTCGCATGAATTCGTGTCAGATTAACGACGGAGTCTAGAAGAAGTTTCACCGTGAAATTTCATACTATTAGAAGAACGCTTCTCTTTCTCTCTCTATCTCTCTCTCTTTCTTACGAATCCATTGATAGACTATCATTGGTTGTTCGGTCATGCTGAAAATTCTTTCTTCTCTTACGAGATTCTTCGACAATGACTTCGACACTTGTTCGCGAGATTTGCAACGTCGTATAAGTGAGCGAAAAAGCAATGTCGAAGATTTTTGCGTCGAAATAATCGTTGACAAGGATTGCATAAACGTTGATAGAACGCGCATCGCCTCTTCCGCAAGAGACAGCAGAAAGTTTTATGCAAACCAGAATATTGCTCCATTAACATAATTATTACGTAAACCAAACCATTTCGATAACTTTTTACGTATGACACACAGTTACTTTTTCGTAATTTTTTGATTCCATTTTTTATGTGTAAAATATTAAAATTGTTCCACATTGACAGGAAACATGTAAATATGTCAAAACTTTTTAAAAAAGCAAAATGATTTACAGAAATATTATTTTTCTATATAGAGATTTTATTTTTATTGATAATATATTTTTACATTAAAATATAAACTGAAAGATAGCTTTTTAATTCTTGTAAGTACATCAGTTATTAACTTGTCATCGTGTAATAAAATTAAGACACGTATGTCTCACTCAAGTATCGAATACTAATCAGCAATCATGTAATGACACAATATTTCCGCATAAAAGAAAGTGAAACTAATAGAAACTGTGAAATGATTTCTTAATTTTCTAAATCTTCGATCAACAAAGGCACTAATCATAAATATTGTTAGAATTACGCGATGACATGGACAAATATATTTACAATACTTTGTCCAAAAAATGTATGATTTTTCATATTGATTAAGTCACACATTTATCGTATTTAATTTATATTGTATCATAAAGTAATTCGCACACATTTGTAATATTATAATAAAAAACTAAAAAATATTTGAAATATTGAACCCACAAACCATGCAAAGCATTTCTCACATTTTCAATAACACACAAATATTTTTTTACTTCACACAAACGCTATCCATATTATATTAAATATGTACCATATAAATATATATATCATATAAATATATATACCATAACAAAAAGCATATATTTGAAATACCGGAATATAATGGAATAAATTATGCAAACCATTTTCCACATCCTTAGAAACAATATAAATAGTTGTTTATCTCAGACGCAAGATTCCATCCCTTTTAGTTTATTTTCCATTCTCTCATGGGATGAAGTATTCTCAACAAGGACACTACTGGTGCTTCGAAAAATAAGGAGAGGAATAGCGATGATGCGTATGACACTACCACAATTCCGAAAAATAGAAGTGCCTGTAAAATACAAAACGATATTAGCCAAAAGAATCTGTAAGCAAGAAATATCGTTAATATAATATACTATTTATATTTTAAATTACATCAACCAAATTTTTAAAAGTTTTTTTTGCATTTTAGAGATAACAAGAAATAAATTTAAATTTTATCCCTTTTTACACAAAATTTGATTTTTAAGAATATAATTCTTGAAAAAATAAAATTATATTGAAATATTATATGCAAATATAAATTTCAATTTTTACATAATAATAATATTATATGGAAAACATTATGCTAAAATACATTAAACTAACTCTGAAAGATAAAAAAAAAGGTATCATATTTTCTCTATTACTTTTCAGTGCATAAGTCGGAATCTAGCGGCATGTACAGAAATATGCCGATTTTGCAATAATCGGTAATGAAATCAACTGTACTATACACACATCCAAATATTTAAATTTTTGTAAATTATTGTCAATTAATTTTTTCGAATTATTTCTTATTTATTATTTGCAACATATTTAGTTTGCATTGAGTACAAAATTCAATATTTGTAGATAATAATACTTAAAAAATAATAATGTTTACATATCAATTGAATTAAAAATTTGTTGCGTCGAAAGTAATATTTATTATTTAATCCAACTATATCATATTTCATAGTTTTATTATTAAATAAATCATTTATTATTAAATATATTTTCTTTTACATTAATATAGCTTGCTGATATAAGAGGTTTCTTATTTATCGAGGTGAAGTATATCTTATGAGTACATTAAGATATCAATAGAGCATTAATTTGATATTTCGTCAAAAATATTTTTTTGCAAAATATTATTTTGAAGAAAAAAATATTGTTAGGAAAAGTATAAGTATTTTATTACAATATTCTCTATAGATATGATTTTGAGTATTAGCAGATGGGCGTCATGTCTTTGTAGTTTTTTTTTCTATAATTCATTTTTTTTAAATAATTGCAAAGATATTAAATGTGAAAAGACTGTAGAGTTAACTTTTTAGGAGAAGTTTAGAAATATTAAAAAGATAATATAGACAAGCAGTATTTTGAAAATTATCTCAATAAATAACTTTCTTTATTATAAAAGAAGCTTACACATTAAAATGCTTAGAAATATTAAATGTTTTTTACATTCATAAAATTCTAAATTTAAAGATTAAGATTTTGTCGAAATGATATAATCGATCTTTATAAGTATCTTTATAATAAGTGGAAATTACCATAGAGCTATATGTAAAATGCCACGAACTTCCAACGTCTAGAGCTATAGTGTGTAAAAGTGCAGAATGCACTAAATAATTGCAGTATGTTAATCTGGAAATAGGATACAGGTACTTCCATGATAGTATATGAGTAACTATACCTGAAAAATAGAATTAATTTTCATAAAATTTCCTTTATATAAATTTATATAATTTTATATATACATATAGATGTATATATATAAATTTTTTATATTAAAAATAAAAGCTTTTTATATATAAGGAAATATTTAAATAAAATAGTACATAGGTACATATTTTAATAAATTATAATATTTGATATACACGCACATAATGCTCGGGCTGTAAAAAAAAGAATTGTTTAATATTTTTAATAAATATATGTCATATTTTATATATTTTTAAATAAAAAATGTACATTTTGATACATAAAAAAACTATTACATATCATAAAATAAAATAGCTACTAAAACTAATTTAAGATTGTTTATATATGCTTATAAGATTGTTTCAAAAAGAAATGCTCCTGAGTTGAATATTTTTAACATTATTTTTTAGACACGAATTTCAATCTCATTTAAAAGTATTATGTATATTATATTATATATTATACATATGATACTTATATCATATACATACATATATTATGCTATACAGGGTGTATCTGAAATGATGCACTAAACTTTAGGAGCGTATTCTAAAGGTCAAAATAATACTTTTTTTTCCTATGAACATGGATCTGCAACTGAACTCTCCTCCGAACTAGCTAAAGTTTGGGGAAGAAATTAAGAATTGGCTGTATTTAAAAAAAAAAAGGTTTCGACGTTACCTCACTTGAGAGATAAATAAATTTGTGTTGCGGGTGTTTAGTCAGTTTCACACATTTTCGAATTTTAGCTCGAAGAGGGGTTTATTTGTGGATCTATGTTTATAAAAAAAGTCTTATTTTGACCTCTAGAATATACTTCTAAAGTTTAGTGCATCATTTCAGATACACCCTATATATTATACATATAATATTTACCGCCATATCCGGTGACACAGGCGATCAAAATCCATGCCAAGCATATTGCCCATCCAGAATGTGATAATGCCATGTAAATTGCGGATAATATTGGTCCAAATGTAGTTCCATGTAATCCATATACTATACTGGCCATCGTAATTAGAGAAATAGACCAACCTATTACAATCACAGCCTGCAATTATGAATATCAATCACTCACGTTTTGCTACTTATAAAGAAATATGTCTCTGATGCATATCATCATGTGATGCAAAAATATATTACGTGTATAATTATCGTATATGTAATCGTTTATATAAAGATTTCATATACGTTCTGTATATGACATCTTATTCAATTACATTTGTGCACTATTTAAATTATGAATTTTGATAATATAATTATGAGATTGAGTATAAAATGCATGTATTGTATTTGCTAAGCTAATCTATGCAGAAAACGTATTTGTATATATGTAAATGTACTTGTATATAATTATTGTTGCATTAGGAACGATCTATGAGAGTGGATTGCTTACTTTATTCATATTTGCCTTGCAGTCAATCTTGAAGAGATACCAACCAGTGACCATTCCTATGAGATACGGTCCTATTCGTATCCATGGCTTGTCATAGAGACTCTCGTAGTGTGCAAACGGGTCCTGGATACTGAAAATATGTTTGCTTAATCTTTGGAGTTTCTTTTCTTACTTAATGTATGCATTTTTAGACAAGCAATTGATGCGAGAAACATGTTTTAAACATAGAGATACGAATGTATACGTATGTTTGCCATTTGCCATACCTTGGCACGTGGTTGGTGTTCAAAGTGATTAACGCTGTTGTTATCCACGAGGCGATTAAAAGGAAAGCTCCGATGAACGCTGCTACAGGTAGAAAGCTACAAAGAAAAATCGATTAGGTGTAACATCGTGAATGACGATTGCATTTATATCAGCTGTTTCTTTCTTCATATCGACTGCTCTCTCTTACCTTGCTCCGATTATCAAGATGATTATTCCCACAGTATAGAATTGTGTATCGTTCGCCAGATACCAACTCCAAGTCATACACTATGGATTAAATATTCAGAATTCGATTAATCGATAAAATATTAATTGCAGAAAAAGTACATGATATGATATGCGAATGCATAATGTTAGTTGCATTTACAATTTAAACGTAACATATAATTTATGGTTATATATAACTTACAGGAAACAATTACTCAGGTAGAAACAATTTAAAAATAATAAATTAAATGTTAGAAATATAAAATTATTAAAAATTATTTAATATTTATTTAATATTTCTGTTTCATATTTATATATTTGTTTTAATTCTCAAAGGATATGACTTGAGTTTGAAATATAATTTTTCATTAAATTCTTCGTGTTTTACTCCATTTATCTCATAAATCTCGCTACCATAAAATGATGTGTTACTTGTAAGCTTTATATCTCTTTCTCTTTTTTTATTTACATGAATAATTCTTGTCTCGTTCGAAAGTTATACATATATATAATCAATGCAGGATTTTTTGTTAAAAAATGGAAATAAACTGATAAATAATTGATTATGCGTTCGATAATTTATAAGTGATGCAGAAATGCACTTACTCGATCATTAAAATCGAAATAAGTATTTATATATAAGGCGTTCTTCCACCAGACATTCTCGCATGTTTTATAATTCAAATTCCTAGATAATTCAATCATGGAATGATCGTGATACCATTTCATCGATACCTGAAGCAAACCGATCATGAAAAGATAAACCGGGGTCAAGCGAAAATATCTATACCAAATCATTCCCAAAAATTGCAGGACTTGACCGTGACATCCTTTTATCATCTTTTTGTCTCGTATCTTTTCATTTGCCATCGTACGATAATAAAGAAATGCTACCAAACATCCACTAAAACAGAGATCATTATTTTCTCTCATTCTTAGCTGCATATTTTAAATTATATACACACTATATATTACATATGTGATATGATGTATTATATTATTAAAATATATATATAGCATTTGAATTCAATATTCATTTATAATTTAATTTTATAAAGTTATGTATTCAATTTCGAATTTTAGTTCTTTTTTTCATTTTATATGAAATAGACGACTAATCATACCTCATAAAGAAAAATGTGTCTACAGAATATGTACCATTACCGATTGTCTGATAGAGAAAGTTTTCTTCCGCTACAGTTCGAAACATTTCGCGGTCTACAACAAAGAAAAAAAGATTTTACGCGATGAATGTGCGTAACATAAATTGATTACTTCTATGTTGTTACGTACCCGAAACATCATTAAAAAATAAACACGTGTGTAGCAGAATTATCCAGAGCATTGTGTAAAATCGTAATCCGTGTATCGGTGCTAACGTATCCTTACCGACGTTAAAACTGCACAGCTTAGACATATTTACGAGTAGACTGAAAGACAGCAATGCTTCCGATAAAGGTTTTGGCACGATTTTCGAGTTGTGGACATCTAAAAATATTTGGATCGCAAACTTATTTTACAAAATTTTATTTTGCATTATCAGAACATTAATAAGTTTGAGAATGAATTGAATATGTAATTTAAGGCAAAAAATATTTGTTTATCATCGATTTTCCGCCTTAAATTGAATATCCAGTTGATATTCTTGATTAATTATTAAATTAACTTGTAATGTAACACAATTTTATTAAATTTATGAATTTGCGATTTAAAAATTTAAAAATTATAAAGATTTATTATATAGATTATAAAGTTTTATAAATTTGTTCATATTACATACGGAAAAATTATAATGAAAGAATTTTTTTGATGGAATACCTAAAGAACCGTTGTGTCTCGTCATAGACCATAGTTTTGAGAGTGTAATTCGGCGATCGAAATTTCCGTCACATCTCAGAGATTTCAATCCTGTTATTGTAATATTGTTGTTACTTCTTTTATTTGCTTTAAGTAAAATCTTATAACGTAGTGCAACGTCATAAAAAGTACCCATAAGTACAAGTACACATACAAGGACGAAAGAAATCCTGCAACATACGTATGCTTTCTTATAAAGTATTATTATAAAGACTAACTCGAAAAAAAACTTTGATTGCAGTTTCAATACATGTGTTATGTGTGTATATTCGAAGTATATTTTTAATGTGAGTTATATCATATATGTCGTATTGTTTTAATCAAGCAAGTGCAAGATACAAACAGAAGATTTTACAATTACAAAAATTACATGAAAAATATATATCTTCTCTTTTACATTTGTTATTGAAATATAGTGATATTAAGGTATTTATTACTATAAAAACTTCAATTATGCATTTATTCCATTACTTATTAACTTTATGTATTTGTTTGTGCATCAAAATATTTCTATAATTACGATACTCCTTTGTAATAAATATAATATATAATATTATTAAAATATTATGATTTCTTTTGATATATTCGAAAGATTAAAACATTATATTACTTTTTACTAAAATTATATTATTTTTTCACCTGTATACAATATTATAATATGACACTTACAATAAAATATAAAATGTCGTATCTTTCCAAAATGTATAACCTTTTGAAAGATTTCGTATGTGATCGATGGTAAATCTTAATGGTAAATTGACGCTAGATTGATTTTGTGCGAAATACAAAAGTCTCTCGACATCTTTTGTATCGCACACAATTGGCAAACATAATCCCAGGATAATATTGTGTGTCTGAAAAATATCTTACAATTAGTTATACTTAACACAGTGAGATATTTTTAATTTACAAAACAAATTTTCCTAAAAATTTTTAAATGCTCCTAATTTTCTTTTAATTTGTTCTTGTTTACATCATAATTTTAATATTTTTCTTATACGAATACATGAAAGTAGTACATTTATCAACTTTCATAAAAAACAAAAAGTGATATAACCATAAATATTTGTCGTAAATCCATATAATATTATATAAAAAATATTATATAATATATAAAAAATGCATGAGGTCATTAATATTACATGATGTTAAATAACAACGCGTATTCTTTACTTTTAAAAAATATCAATATTATCGGTCAAAGTGCGATATAATAAATATTACATAATTTTATTCTATTGCGTCTGATCTTGATTCTGTTGTATCATGTTTTTAAAAAATTATGAGAATTATGTGATAATAAATCAATTCTGTATTTTTTTTACATTTACACCTATCGTTTGACAAATAATATCTATTTAAAATGTAATTTTCAAAGAAATATAAATATGATTTTTATACAATTGATTATCAAAATGATAAGACATTAATGCAATAATATTTTTTACAATTGTTACCCTTATAAAACGATATAACAAAATTTTATATATAATTTATTATATTAGGAATATATAACATTGCTTAAAAATATTATCTCAATTATTATTAAAAAATTACTAAAATTATTAAAAAATTACTAAAATAATACAAATTATATCAGATTATAAAAATCGATAAACTTTTGTACTGGTTACCTCATTTAATCCAGGTTTCAGGATTTCAAGAGTAAGATTGATGGAGTTCATGCTGACGCGGAAAGGGGGTAATTCTTTATTTCGATGAAGTTTCTTATCCTGTTGCCATTCTATAAATTCCTTTTCCATTTTGCGACATTGATCTGCAGCTCCAACCCAATATTTATTACCAGAAAATATACCCCATATATACTTGCCATCCGCGTCCATCACTGAAAGCGAGAAAAAATCGAATAATCTTGATATAAAAAGTTAGTGATTTATAAAAAAAGATGATATATAATTTCAAAAAAACATGCAAATTAAATAGTATATTTTTAGAAATTACATATATAAAGTATTTAATAAAACTATTTGACAATCATCATCTATCAATTAAACTATTTGATAATATCATTAAATAAGTAGAGCGTTTACTAAAATAACGTATTTTAAAGTAAAAATTAATTAGTTATTGCGTAATTTAGTGTTATTTTTACATTGCGAATGCTTTGTCAAAATATATATAATATATCATCTGCTTAAAAGTTATTACCCAAACTAGAACTTAATGCAACACGTTTGCATATTATACAGCATGTTCAATCACAAATTGATCTTATTGCGGTTATTTCGTCCGACTACTTTCACCCTTTCTACAGGAAAGATCAGACCGTATCTTTCATTTCACTTCATTTCATTTAGACACGGTTGTTATGTAGTCCGAGAGAATTATTAACAATCCCGGAACAAGCAAGTACTTTTACTTACTATCATTTCAAATTGTCTTATTCTGCATTTCTTATAAATATATATTTCTTATAAAAATATATTTCTTATATATATATATATATATATATATATATTGTATATATATATATATATATATATATATATATAAGTATTTCGATATATAAATACGTTGCACAAAAGTGCAGAAATTTTCAGTGTGTGATTTTCATTTATTCTTTATATTTAAAAGAAAGATGGTAAACGAGAGAGAGATTTAGCACAATTTGTTAAATTTGCAATATTCGAAATTAAACTCACCGACGCTCATAAAAAATTTAACAAGATGATAAATAATATTGAATTTTTTAAATAATATTCATTGAAAAAGCAGAATTAAATTGTATGCATAATGGCAGGTTCTAATTAATTTGGAACGTGCGATACGATTGAAGACGCCAGATATGCTTCAAAAGAAAGCGCTTTTTCCTTAATTATGTAGTTTTATGTAATGATACATAATGTATGATACATATATAATGGATCATTATTACATAAAACTACACTAAACAAGTTATCCAGATTATGTCATGAAATACTTAATATTTCTATACATAGTTATATAATAATTTTCTAATAATTTTATTTTAATATTAACAAATTTCCTTTTAATATTATAATATTAATACAAATTTTCTTTTAATATTTAAATATTAACAAATTATCTTTTAAAAAATGATATTATGGATTGTTAACAACTTTGTAATATAAGTCTATTAGAATAATAAACAATTAAATAATAATTATAATTAATTTAGAATAATTTACTACTAATTGAGCTTATATTATTATTTTTTATACAATTTATAGGTGATACTATCGAATTGCATGTAAATGTTATAATTAATTCTATTATTTATAGAATTTAAAAAGTATTGAAAAATATTTGAATATTAACATAGCACATTGAAATGAAAATATTTAAAGAATTTAAAGTTTATTTACAAATAATGTGCATTTGAAAGAATATCAATAACTTTCTATAATGAAAACAAAAACATATAAGAGTTAACGGTCCGTACAATTTCTCTGTTAACAATTTCTGCAATGAAATAGTAGAGAATTGAGAAAAGAGATAACAGAATAGAGGAGATTTGGGAGAATTCCTGAGATGTTAATGAATGACAATAATGGCACGTGTCTAAAACCGATTAGTACCTCCAGCATATTGGAAAGAATTACATTATATGACATAAATAAAATATCTTCTCGTAAAATAGTAGTAAAATCGTAAAATAGTATAATAGTAGATATATTAGTTTTGTCAGATGAAGTCTGTATACAGCAAATAATGAGATCTTTAATCAGTCTGTTTAATGATACCACATTATCAATGATACAAGTTCGACTACAATTTTCTCCCATGTTGCAATCGTTTTCAATGTGCACACAAATTATCGAATAATTGCAATGTTCTTCATTGCAGTAGCAATCTTTTTAATTTACAACCTTCTTCATGTTATTTTTATTTGCATTTCATAATTCTTAATAACAAAATTGTTGAGAAAATAAAGCTATCTGTCTCTCTTTATTTATTGCAAATATATTTTTACAACAGAAATATCAGAAATATAAATTCTTTTTTTTTTAATCTTTTTTTTATAAATTGATTTATATCATCACGAATTAAATATCTATATATTAATAATTTTATTTTTATCACGCTATCTATATATTCTGTTTTCTAAAATTTATTGTTCAAATTTAAATAATTTTTTGACATATATATGAGAACTTCAACTATGATAATGTTACTGAAATACTATTAAATGTTATTTAATGTTATTTATGCGTTTTATGGGATTGAAGAATTTTATTTATATATATAAGATGTATATGATAAACCTTATAAAATTCATTTCATGTATTTATTTTCTCATGGATTTACTATTTTAACATGCGTTCCTTTTATAAAAACGAAAAAAAACAATTTTGACGTACAAATTATTTTAAGAAATTATTTTAATTACAAACTGTTGTCATATATCTATGCAAGTTATGTTATATTTTTCAAAAGTTGTACTTACTTTTTAGAGCCCAATTTGTTTTCCTTAATATGCCCATCATGTAACGAGTCAAATCTTTACCGCACGGTAACGAAATATCTGCATCTCGACATGTTTCATTCTTCCAAATTCGCGAAATAACAATTGGATTCCAGATTTGTAAAAATTGATCAGCATTCCAAAGTTCAATATTTCTATTACTTGGCTCAATTGTGTTGTTCGATGAAAACTTGAATTCATTCTTGCTCTGAACAAATTGCTCCCTAAAACTCTTCCCATTAGATTCCTCTATCAAGGGATCTTGCGAAGATGATATAGGTTCAGTCACATTGGAACATGTTATCAATTGTTGCAATAATAGAAAATACAATATAATTCCGTAATATAACATTCTGACAAAAATGTGTTTATTAAAATTTGCTGCTTTAAGCAATCATCGCAATGATTTCGAATTATATCACAAATTATAAATATTTAAAATAAATTTGGAATAAAACAACATAAAAACTCTAAAATAATTTTCAAAAATGATGAAGACGAGTAGATATTAATGATGTAATCTGTGCACGAAATATATATTTCTTCGAATATTTTATGTTTTATTCCACTAGATTTTGATGTATGTATTATGTGTAAATGTCGATAGCATTAATCATACTGTGCAAATGCATCAAATGCTTGTTCAAATATATTCTAGCCACCATCTCCCCCTCTTAGACTTCATGTATACGTCTATCCTCTTTACGTATACGTCTTTTAGAAGGTAAGAAATTGTAATCGTATTAATTTACGCATGTGCAGAAGAAACATTCAGAGTTACTCAACGTTGCGTTTTACTCAAGGTAACAATTTATATTCGTCAACGTTTCTTCCGCGTTTAATTTATTCTTAAAAGAAATGAGAAGAAAATAAAATTAAATCTTAAATTGTTTCCGAATGAGATATTAGTTTACAAAAATTTCGATTTTCTTCTTTTTTTTCTTTTCTTTTTCTTTTGATTTATTCTTAATCTTCTTAAATTATTCTTTCTCTATTGTTGTGTATGTGTATGTATGTGTCTATTGTTGTGTCTATTGTTGTGTATGTGTGTATGCGTCGTATGTCTTAATTCCTGTTAATTATTTTCGTTTATGTTTAATAAATAAATTTTTTTTACTTTAATAAAAAATTTATTTTCTAAAAAAAATATTTTTCTCCATAAAAATCGATTATGGTATAAAGTAAAAGAAAGGAACTTTTGTTAAAAAATTCTTTACTTTTTTTCTTTTTTTAAATAATTTTAAAAAATAAAACAAAAATAATTAATAATTTAATTTTTAATGTAAAATCATGAATTCTAATATTTAAACGAAATTGAATTAAATATTTTCAATTTTTTACAATTTTTTTTATTTACATTAATCTATTTAAAATATATACTTAAAGCTTTAAATATACTTAAATATTGTAAGTAATAATAATAATAACAATTTTGATATAATTATACTCCAAATGTATTCTTAAGGTAAATTAAAGTAAATAGAAAATTGTAAAAACACTAAACAATTTTTAATCAAATTCCATTTAACAAATTAGAATTCATGATTTTTTACAAATTTCCAAAACAATTTTTCTTAATTTTTTCTTATCTATCTTTACATGTTTCATCAATTTTCCTAGTTTTGCGGAAAAGACTAGTCCGATGTAAAGTATCAGAAACACTACTTTCCCTTGTTATCGTACATTACGTCTTGAGATCGTAATCATATAGATTGAAACAAGGATTGGCAGTTGTATAAGTATAATAAATAGATAGATAGCAATTTACATCTTGTGCAGTCATTGACTTTTACGCAGCTCTCATATGTAATGTAAAATGATGATGAACAACAATTTCGTTGTCATTTTCAACGCACTATCATCATTACGCATGATGTTACAAGATAATAATATGCACAAAACAAACTAATTGTCTTTATTTTTTCATCATTGATTTAATAATAAAATAAAATTTCTGAATAAAAAATTTTCTTTACTCATTGCAATATTTTTCATTTTGAAAACTGGAATTATCGTATCGTTGTTATAATCCAGACATAATATGTATATATATATATATATATATATATATATATATATATATTTGTCGAAAGCAATATATCTACTTAAGAGTGAATTCTTCACTCCTACTTATGAGTGAATTTTTTATTATACATATAATTTTCATATTGAAAATTTTCCTCACTTATTGCACTATTTTCTACATTTTATGTTGAAAACCAAAATTATCGTATTGTGTTTATGATCCATATATAATATATATAAAGAATTCACACACACTGTGGTGTGAGCAGGACATACTTTTGAAAAATATAAGATGTATAATTTATAAATAATACAAAAAGGCTTTTTTACGGAACAAATTACTACTATTATGTGCTTATATTGTGAACAGTACATACTTCGAAAATTCTAAAATAACATTAAAAAATAACAAAAAAAGAATTTGAGAAGTTCTTTTAATTTAAAAAATAATTAAAATGTGAGAGTTCTTAAACGTCTCGGTCCTCGACTAGATTCTCTTTGGTAAGAAATAAGTATCAATATTTAGACGACAGAAATTGTAAAATTGTGGTTTCGAATCAAAAATGCTTTATCCAATTGATGAATATTTCCAACGAAACATCACGCAAGATTAAACATTCATAGGAAATTTTTCCCAGAAATTTGCAAAAGAAATTTAGAAACATTCTGATGACAAACTTGAAATAATATCGTGGTTGGGTAAAAAGTAATAGAATTTTCTATAAATACGTAAAACGTGACATCAAAAGAGAAATCAAATGCTGAAAAGAAATCATAAATTGGCGACAGCATAAAAAAAATAATAAGTCGCGCATTAAAATAAAATGTAATAAAATCAAGAATATTTACGAAAATATTTCTTTCAACACTTTAATTCAAAACCATTTTATTCTCCATCTAATATTGACATCTATTTTTTATTGAAAAGAGTCCAATCGAAGTTCGAAATGTTTAAGAATTCTTATATTTTGTTAATTACTTTTTTATTTTCAAAAAGAGAACTTTTTGAAATATATATTATCTTCTTATCTATTTATTAATCTAATTTTAAGAACTTTCGAAATTTATACTATTCAATAAATTTATACCTATTCAAAAATTTATACTATTTATACTATTTATACTATAAAATAAATAATATGGATGCACGTATCCGCAATTTGCTCTTTAACCTTTTCGTATTATTTATTGTTTATTTGATTATTAGATAAAGATTTTATTTATATTAGATAAAGTGATAGTTAAGTGAAAGTACATAAAATTGCAGGAGCGCATAACCGTAAGCATAAGAAAATTGATTAGTTCATTTTCTTATGCATATACACTTGTCAACAAAATTATCGCATAGGTAATTTCATGTCAAATTTTCGTATAACTTCAAATAAATATAACTCCGTCAAAAATGGTCGTATTTGAAAACTTTTTTTTTCATTCTCAAGCTTAAAGCCTTTATTTTGAAAATCATTTGTCAGATTTAGAATTTATCTTCCCCCTCTCGTCATCTCCTTAAAAGTAAGAACATGTTACGTCTCCAAAAAATTGCATACTTTGACGCATTCCACCGGGATGGAATAAAGTTTTTTCGCAAATTTCATGATAATCATCATAAAATATGGACTTTTATGTGCAAGTTAAAAAAAAAATTTTTTATACGATTTTTTTTCGCGAAGTTACGACATCTCAAAGTTACTGATACATTTTTGTTCATCGTATAACAATTTTCAAAAATCTCTTCAGGGCAAAATCTAATTTATCTCGAAAATTGTATCACAAAAATATAAAAACTGTGCCGTTAGATAAGATTTCTAAGGAGACTAATTTATCGTATTATAATAATATTCTAAAACCACCTCTTATGAATGGGAATGAACTCTAATATCTAGAAAATGAAATCTTGTGAAAATACGCGACTTACCCTTAAAGATTTTTTAAAATGCGTTTATATTTTTTGCAGAAATAATATAAATTTTTACAAAAAGCTGATGATATCCCTCTAGAAACAACCTTATAACAGTAAAATACGTCAAGTACATAAAACAATATTTTTAAAAAAAACCTAACATATTTTCTGTAGAAATAATATAAATGTTTACAAAAAGTAGTGAGATCCTCTAAAAAAAACCTTATAAAAGTCAAAAAGTATGCCACGTACATAAACAAATCAAAAAATCTAAAAGAGTGATAAAAATAAAATATTTAAAAACCGATATAAGATTAATACTATTAGCCAAGTACAATAAATTATGTGATATTAATTCGTAATCGATACTAAATGAGTTAAAATTACTTTAAATCTTAAAGCATTTTTCATATGATGTATATAATTTAAAAATGCTTTACACAAATTCTAAATCGCTAAATATAGTACAAACAGCTAGACTTTTACCCAAAAGACTGCACGAAATGAAACTCAGGATGATGAAATACATAGTGGTAACATTGATGATGTATAATTGTTACGTAAACCAAATCATTTCGATAACTTTTTACGTACAACACACAGTTACTTTTTCGTAACTTTTGATTCCATTTTTTATGTGTAAAATATTAAAATTGTTCCACATTGACAGGAAACATGTAAATATATCAAAACTTTTCAAAAAGGCGAAATGATTTACGGAAATATTATTTTTCTATATGGAAATTTTATTTTTATTGTTAATATATTTTTACATCAAAATATAAATTGAAAGATAGATTTTTAATTCTTGTAAGTACATCAGTTATTAACTTGTATAATAAAATTAAGACACGTATGTTTCACTCGAGTATCGAATACTAATCAGCAATCATGTAATGACACAGTATTTCCGCATAAAAGAAAGTGAAACTAATAGAAACTGTGAAATGATTTTTTAATTTTCTAAATCTTCGATCAACAAAGGCACTAATCATAAATATTGCTAGAATTACGCGATGACAAATATATTTACAATACTTTGTCCGGAAAATGTATGATTTTTCATATTGATTAAGTCACACATTTATCGTATTTAATTTATATTGTATCATAAAGTAATTCGCACACATTTGTAATATTATAATAAAAAACTTTAAAATATTTTAAATATTGAACACACAAACCATTCAAAGCATTTCTCATTAAAGCATTTTCAATAAAACACAAATATTTTTTTACTTCACACAAACGCTATCCATATTATATTAAATATGTATCATATAAATATATATATATATATATATATATATATATATATACCATAACAAAAAGCGTATATTTGAAATACCGGAATATAATGGAATAAATTATGCAAAGCATTTTCCTTAGAAACAATATATTTATCCTTAGAAACAATATAAATATCCTTAGAAACAATATAAATAGTTGTTTATCTCAGACGCAAGGTTCCATCCCTTTTAGTTTATTTTCCATTCTCTCATGGGATGAAGTATTCTTAACAAGGACACTACTGGTGCTTCGAAAAACAAGGAGAGGAATAGCGATGATGCGTATGACACTACCACAATTCCGAAAAATAGAAATGCCTGTAAAATACAAAACGATATTAGTCAAAAGAATCTGTAAGCAAGAAATATCGTTAATATAATATACTATTTATGTTTTAAATTACATCAACCACATTTTTAAAAGTTTTTTTTGCATTTTAGAAATAACAAGAAATAAATTTAAATTTTATCCCTTTTTACACAAAATTTGATTTTTAAGAAACATAATTCTTGAAAAAATAAAATTATATTGAATTATATGCAAATATAAATTTCAATTTTTAAATAATAATAATATTATACGGAAAACATTATGCTAAAATACATTAAAATAACTCTGAAAGGTATCCAAAAGTATCATATTTTCTCTATTACTTTCAGTGCATAAGTCGGAATCTAGCGGCATGTACAGACATATGCTGATTTTGCAATAATCGGTAATGAAATCAACTGTACTTTACACACATCCAAATATTTAAATTTTTGTAACTTATTGTCAATGAATTTTTTCGAATTATTTCTTATTTATTATTTGCAACATATTTAGTTTGCATTGAGTACAAAATTCAATATTTGTAGATAATAACACTTAAAAAATAATAATGTTTACATATCAATTAAACATTGAATTAAAAATTTGTTGCGCCGAAAGTAATATGTATTATTTAATCCAACTATATCATATTTTATAGTTTTATTATTAAATAAATCATTTATTATTAAATATATTTTCTTTTACATTAATCTAGCTTGCTGATATAAGAGATCTCTTATATATCGAGATGAAGTATATTTTATGAGTACATTAGGATACCAATAGAGCACTAATTTGATATTTCGTCAAAAATATTTTTTTGCAAAATATTATTTTGAAAAAAACAATATTTTTAGGAAAAGTATAAATACTTTATTAGGAACAATATTCTGTATAGATATGATTGTGAATATTAGCAGATGGGCATCATGTCTTTGTAGTTTTTTTTCTATTTTTTTTAAATGATTGCAAAGATATTAAATGTATAAAGACTGCGGAGTTAACTTTTTAGAAGAAGTTTAGAAATATCAGAAAGATAAATATAGACGAGCAGTATTTTGAAAATTATCTCAATAAATAACTTTCTTTCTTATAAAAAAAGCTTAAACGTTAAAATGTACAAAATGTGTAAAAAATGTATAAAAATAAAATGTATAAAAATTAAAATGTATAAAAGAAGCTTATACATTAAAATATACATTATACTTAGAAATATTACTTATTTTTTACATTGATAAAATTCAAAATTTAAAGATTAAGATTTTGTCGAAATGATATAATCGATAGTATTTTTATAATAAGTGGAAATTACCATAAAGCCATATGTAAGATGCCACGAACTTTCAACGTCTAGAACTATAGCGCGTATAAGTGCATAATGCACTAAATAAGTGCAGTATGTTAATCTGGAAATAGGATACAGGTATTTCCATGATAGTATATGAGTAACTACACCTGAAAAATAGAATTAACTTTCATAAAATTTTCTTTATATAAATGTATATAATTTCATATACATATATATATATATATATATATATATATATATATATATAATTTTTTATATTAAAAGTAAAAGCTTTTTATATATATAAGGAAATATTTATATAAAATAGTATATAGGTACATATTTTAATAAATTATAATATTTTTTATACACGCACATAATGCTCGGGCCATAAAAAAAAGAATTGTTTAATATTTTTAATAAATATATGTCAAAATTTTTACATATTTTACATATTTTTAAATAAAAAATGTACGTTTTGATACATAAAAAAACTATTACATATCATAAAATAAAACAGCTTATAAAACTAATTTAAGATTTGACAAAAGTCAAGATGGAGTAGATGGTATAAAGATATGAGAGTTTTGGGAATACCGAAGTACTTGAAGGAAAAGAGGAAGATGGGAAGAATGATAAGGATGGCGATGTTCAGATTGAGGAACGAGAGGGAAGGGAGATATTGAAACGGGGAAGAAAGAAGGAGGTGTAGGATATGGATGGGTGAAGGAAACGTGGGAGCATGTGGTGGAGGCATATATGAGGGAAGGGAAGGAAGGGGATAGGCAAAAAATATTGAAGATTTTGGAGGAAGACGGAAGGGAAAAAGGGTGGATGAAGAAGTTACAGAGAAGGAGGGTGAGAGAGGGTTGGAGGGGGAGGGGAAGAGACAGGGGACGAACAATGGACGAGTGTGAGAGGGAGAAAGAGAAGGAGTGAGAGAGGGAGAGAGAGTAAAGGAGAGTTGGTTAACGGAGTAGAGTAGTAGGTTGCGTGCGGCGTTAGAGTGCGGCGAGATGTTAGTTGAGAGGAACGAGAGTTATTGTAAGGAGAGCGGTGGTCCTCTTGTACCTCGCAAAGAGCAAGAATAAACAAATATCTATCTATCTAATGTAAAATTGTTTATATATGCTTACAAGATTGTTTCAAAAAGAAATGCTCCTGGATCAATTGAATATCTTTAACATTATTTTTTAGACACGAATTTCAATCTCATTTAAAATTATTATGTATTTTACACTATATATTATACATATGATACTTATATCATATACATATATTGTGCTACACAGGATGTATCTGAAATGATGCACTAAACTTTAGGAGCGTATTCTAAAGATCAAAATACGACTTTTTTTCCTATGAATATGGATCCGCAAATGAACACTTCTCCGAGCTAGCCCCCAAAGTTTTGGGAAAAAATTAAAAATTGATTGTATGTAAGAAAAAAAAGGTTTTGAAGTTACCTCACTTGAGAGATAAATAAATTTGCGTTGCGGGTGTTTGGTCAATTTCACACATTTTCGAATTTTAGCTCGTGCTTGGTCAATTTCACACATTTTCGGATTTTAGCATATATTATACATATAATATTTACCGCCATATCCGGTGACACAGGCGATCAAAATCCATGCCAAGGATATTGCCCATCCAGAATGTGATAATGTCGTGTAAAGTGCGGATAATATTGGTCCAAATGTAGTTCCGTGTACTCCATATATTATACTGGCCATCGTGATTAGAGAAATAGACCAACCTATTACAACCACAGCCTGCAATTATGAACATCAATCACTCACGTTTTGCTACTTATAAGGAAATACGTCTTTGATGCATATCATCATATGATGCAAAAATACATTACGTGTATAATTATCGTACATGCAATCGTTTATGTAAAGATTTCATATACGTTCTGTACATGACATCTTATTCAATTACATTTTTGCATTATTTAAATTATGAATTTTGATAATATAAATATGAGATTGAGTAAAAATGCATGTATTGTATTTGCTAAGTTAATCTATGCAGAAAACGTACTTGTATAAATGTAAATGTACTTGTATATAATTATTGTTGCATTAGGAACGATCTATGAGAGTGGATTGCTTACTTTATTCATATTTGCCTTGCAGTCGATCTTGAAGAGATACCAACCAGTGACCATTCCTATGAGATACGGTCCTATTCGTGTCCATGGCTTGTCATAGAGACTCTCGTAGTGTGCAAACGGGTCCTGGATACTGAAAATACATTTAATCTTTGGAGTCTTTTTTTTTACTTAATGTATGCATTCTTAGACAAGCATAATTGATGCGAGAAGCATGTTTTAAACATAGAGATACGAGTGTATACGTATGCTTGCCATTTGCCATACCTTGGCACGTGGTTGGTGTTCAAAGTGATTAACGCTGTTGTGATCCACGAGGCGATTAAAAGGAAAGCTACGATGAACGCTGCTACAGGTAGAAAGCTACAAAGAAAAATCGATTAGGTAACATCGTGAATAACGATTGCATTTATCAGCTTGTCTTTCTTCATATCGATTGCTCTCTTTTACCTTGCTCCGATTATCAAGATGATTATTCCCACAATATAGAATTGTGTATCATTCGCCAGATACCAACTCCAAGTCATACACTATGGATTAAATATTCAGAGTTCGATTAATCGATAAAATATTAATTGCAGAAAAAGTACATGATATGATATGCGAATGCATAATGTTAGTTACATTTACAATTTAAACGTAACATATAATTTATGATTATATATAACTTGCAAGAAACAATTACTCGGGTAGAAACAATTTAAAAATAATAAATTAAATGTTAGAAATATATAATTATTAAAAAATATTTAATATTTATTTAATATTTCTGTTTCATATTTATATATTTGTTTTAATTCTCAAAGGATATGACTTGAGTTTGAAATATAATTTTTCATTAAATTCTTCGTGTTTTACTCCATTTATCTCATAAATCTTGCTATCTTAAAATGATGTGTTACTTGTAAGCTTTACATCTCTTTCTCTTTTTTTATTTATATGAGTAATTCTTGTCTCTTTCGAAAGTTATATGTGTATCAATGCAGGATTTCTTGTTAAAAAATGGAAATAAACTGATAAATAATTGATTATGTGTTCGATGATTTATAAGTCATGCAGAAATGCACTCACTCGATCATCCAAATCGAAATAAGTATTTATATATAAGGCGTGCCGCCACCAGAATTTCTCGCATGTTTTATAATCCAACGCAGAGGCTTCAATCATCGAATGATCCTGATACCATTTCATCGATACCTGAACCAAACCGATCATGAAAAGATAAACCGGGGTCAAGCGAAAATATCTATACCAAATCATTCCCAAAAATTGCAGGACTTGACCGTGACATCCTTTTATCATCTTTTTGTCTCGTATCCTTTCATTTGTCATCGTACGATAATAAAGAAATGCTACCAAACATCCGCTAAAATAGAGATCATTATTTTCTCTCATTCTTATCTGAATATTTTAATTTATATACACACTATATATTACATATGTGATATGATGTATTATATTATTAAAAAATATATATAGCATTTGAATTCAATATTCATTTATATTTTAATTTGATAAAATTATGTATTCAATTTCAAATTTCTATTCTTTTTTCATTTTACATGAAATAGATGACTCATACCTGATAAAGAAAAATGTGTCTACAGAATATGTACCATTACTGATTGTCTGATAGAGGAAGTCTTCTTCCGCTACAGTTCGAAACAGTTTGTAGTCTACAAGAAAGAAAAAAAGATTTTACGCGATGAATGTGCGTAACATAAATTGATTATCTTACGTGTTTTTACGTACCCGAAATATAATTAACTAATAAACACGTGTGTCCCAGAATTATCCAGAGTATTGTGTAAAATCGTAACCCGTGTATCGGTGCTAACGTATTTTCACCGACATTAAGACTGCATAGCTTAGACATATTTACGAGTAGACTGAAAGACAGCAATGCCTCCGATAAAGGTTTTGGCACGACTTTCGAGTTGCGGACGTCTAAAAATATTTGGATCGCAAAACCATGAATTTTAAAAAATTTTATTGCATTATAAGAACATTAATAAGTTCGAGAATAAATTGGATATGTAATTTAAGGCAAAAAAATATTGGTTTATCATCGATTTTCCGCCTTAAATTGAATACCCAGATGATATTCTCGATTAATTATTAAACTAACTTGTAATGCGACAAAATTTTGTTAAATTTATGAATTTACAATTTAAAAATTTAAAAATTATAAACATTTATTATGTAGATTATAAAGTTTATATCTTATAAATTTGTTCACATTACATACGGAAAAATTATAATGAAAGAATATTCTTTTTTGATGAAATACCTAACGAACCGTTGTGTTTCGTCATAGACCATAGTTTTGAGAATGTAATTCGGCTATCGAAATTTCCGTCACATCTCAGAGATTTCAATTCTGTCGTAATTGTAATATTGTTGTTACTTCTTTTATTTGCTTTAAGTAAAATCTTATAACGTATTGCAACATCATAAAAAGTACCCATAAGTACAAGTACACATACAAGGACGAAAGAAATCCTGCAACATACGTATGCTTTCTTATAAAGTATTATTATAAAGACTAACTCGAAAAAAAACTTTGATTGCAGTTTCAATACATGTGTTATGTGTGTATATTCAAAGTATATTTTTAATGTGAGTTATATCATATATGTCGTATTGTTTTAGTCAAGCAAGTGCAAGATACAAACAGAAGTTTTTACAATTACAAAAATTACATGAAAAATATATATATTCTCTTTTACATTTGTTATTGAAATATAATGATATTAAGGTATTTATTACTATAAAAACTTTAATTATGCATTTATTTCATTATTTATTAACGATTATGTATTTGTTTGTGCATCAAAATATCTGAATAATTACGATACTCCTTTGTAATAAATATAATATATAATATTATTAAAATATTTTCATTTCTTTTGATATATTCCAAAGATTAAAAAATTATATTATACTTTTTACTAAAATTATATTATCTTTTCACCTGTATACAATATTATAATATGACACTTACAATAAAATATAAAATGTCGTATCTTTCCAAAATGTATAACCTTTTGAAAGATTTCGTATGTGATCGATGGTAATTCGTAACGGTAAATTGACGCTAGATTGATTTTGTGCGAAATACAAAAGTCTCTCGACATCTTTTGTATCGCACACAATTGGCAAGCATAATCCAAGGATAATATTGTGTGTCTGAAAAATATCTTACAATTAGTTATACTTAACACAGTGAGATATACTTTTTAATTTACAAAACAAATTTTCCTAAAAATTCTTAAATGCTCCTAATTTTCTTTTAATTTGTTCTTGTTTACATCATAATTTTAATATTTTTCTTATACGAATACATGAAAGTAGTACATTTATCAACTTTCATAAAAAACAAAAAGTGATATAACCATAAATATTTGTCGTAAATCCATATAATATTATATAAAAAATATTATATAAAAAATGCATGAGGTCATTAATATTACGTGATGTTAAATAACAATGCATATTCTTTACTTTTAAGAAATATCGATATTATCGGTGAAAGTGCGATATAATAAATATTACATAATTTTATTCTATTGCGTCCGATCTTGATTCTGTTGTATCATGTTGTTGAAAAATTATGAGAATTATATGATAATAAATCAATTCTGTATTTTTTTTACATTTACACCTATCGTTTGACAAATAATATCTATTTAAAATGTAATTGTCAAAGAAATATAAATATGATTTTTATACAATTGATGATCAAAATGATAAGATATTAATGCAATAATACTTTTTACAATTGTTACGCTTATAAAATGATATATCGAAATTTTATATACAATTTATTATATTCGGAATATATAACATTTCTCAAAAATATTATCTCAATTATTATTAAAAAATTACTAAAGTTATTAAATTAAAAAATTACTAAAATAATTCAAATTATATCAGATTATAAAAATTGTTAGACTTTTGTACCGATTACCTCATTTAATCCAGGTTTCAGGATATCAAGCATAAGATTGATGGAGTTCATGCTGACGCGGAAAGGCGGTAATTCTTTATTTTGATGAAGTTTCTTATCCTGTTGCCATTCTATAAATTCCTTTTCCATTTTGCGACATTGATCTGCAGCTCCAACCCAATATTTATTACCCGAAAATATACCCCATATATACTTGCCATCCGCGTCCATCACTGAAAGCGAGAAAAAATCAAATAATCTTGATATAAAAAGTTAATGATTTATAAAAAAAGATGACATAATATCAAAAAATCATGCAAATTAAATAGTATGTTTTTAAAAATTACATATATAAAGTATTTAATAAAACTATTTGACAATTATGATCTATCAATCAAACTATTTGACAATATCATTAAATAAGTAGAAAGTTTACTAAAATAACTTATTTTAAAGTAAAAATCAATTAGTTATTGCGTAATTTAATGTTACTTTTACATTTTGCGAATGCTTTGTCAAAATGTAAAATATAATGATATAATATATCATCTGCTTAAAAGTTATTACCCAAACTAGAACTTAATGCAACACGTATGCTTATTATACAGCATGTTCAATCGCGAATTGATCTTATTGCGGTTATTTTGTCCGACTACTTTCACTCTTTCTACAGGAAATATCAGACCGTATCTTTCATTTCACTTAGACACGGTTGTCATGTATTCCGAGAGAATCATTAGTGACAATCCCGGAACAAGCAAGTACTAAAACTAAGTTTTCACTCTTCCTTTCAAATTGTCTTATTCTGCATTTCTTATAAATATATATACCGGGTGTCCCTAAAGTCTCGAACCGGTCGAATATTTCATAAACTATGCACTTTAGAAAGAAATGTTTCAGACAAAAGTTGTATGGCTCGAAAGGAGCCATCAAATAGTGGCAATGATTTGACATGGGAGAGTCATTTGGAAGTCACGTGAAGATCACCGCCAATTTCTTAAATGGAACCTCCTATTTTTTATTACATATTCGTGTAGCTTATCTCGAGAGCTTTCTAAAACACTACAATAAAGTATTTCTTCATTGAGTACTTTTCGAGGTTTCATTGAGTACTTTATGAGGTACTTTTGAAATCATTTCTTAATTTTGCTCAAAACATTTAACAATCTGATAAATAATATTGAATTTTTAAATAATACTCATTGGAAAAGCAGAATTAAATTGTATGCATAATGACAGGTTCTAATTAATTTGGAGCATGCGATACGGTTGAAGACGCCATCAGATATGCTTCAAAAGAAAGCGCTTTTTCCTTAATTATGTAATGTAGTTTTATATAATGGTACATAATGTATGATACAGACATAATGGACCATTATTACATAAAACTATACTAAACAAGTTATCCAGATTATGTCATGAAATACTTAATATTTCTATACATAGTTATATAACTTTCTAATAATTTTATTTTAATGTTAAAAAATTTCCTTTTAATATTATAATATTAACACAAATTTTCTTTTAATATTTAAATATTTACAAATCATCTTTTAAAAAATGATACTATGGATTGTTAACAACTTCATAATATAAGTCTATTAGAATAATAAAAAATTAAATAATAATTATAATTAATTTAGAATAATTTACTATTAATTGAACTTATATCATTATTTTTTATATAATTTATAGATGATTCTATTGAATGGCATGTAAATGTAATAATTAATTCTATTATTTATAGAATTTAAAGAGCATTGAAAAATATTTGAATATTAACATAGCACATTGAAATGAAGATATTTAAAGGATTTAAAGTTTATTTACAAATAATGTGTGCATTTGAAAGAATATCAATATCTTTCTACATTGAAAACAAAAACAAATAAGAGTTAACGGTTCGTATCAATTTCTCTGTTATCAATTTCTGCAATGAAATAGTAGGGAATTGGAACTTCCTGAGATGTTAATGAATGACCAATTAGCATTTCCAGCATATTGGATAGAATTACGTTACATGACATAAATGAAATATCTTCTCGTAAAATAGTAAATAATAATAGATATATTAGTTTTGTCTGATGAAGTCTGTATACAGCAAATAATGAGATCTTTAATCAGTCTGTTTAATAATACCACATTATTAATGATACAAGTTCGAATACAATTTTCTCCAATGTTGCAATCGTTTTCAATGTGCACACAAATTATCGAATAATTGCAGTGTTCTTCATTGCAGTAGCAATCTTTTTAATTTGCAACCTTCTTCAAGTTTTTTTTATTTGCATTTCATAATTCTTATGTATTTCTCATGTATTTATTTTCTCATGGATTTACTTTTTTAACATGCGTTCCTTTTATAAAAACGAAAAAAAATCAATTTTGATGTGCAAATTATTTTAAGAAATTATTTTAATTACAAACTGTTGCCATATATCTATGCAAGTTATGTTATATTTTTCAAAAGTTGTACTTACTTTTCAGAGCCCAATTTGTTTTTCTTGATATGCCCATCATGTAATGAGTCAAATCTTTACCGCACGGTAACGAAATACCTGCATCTCGATATGTCTCATTCTTCCAAATTCGCGAAATAACAATTGGATTCCAGATTTGTAAAAATTGGTCAGCATTCCAAAGTTCGATATTTTTATCACTTGGCTCAATTGTGTTGTTCGATGAAAACTTGAATTCATTCTTGCTCTGAACAAATCGCTCCCTAAAACTCTTCCCTTTAGCGATAGATTCCTCTATTGACAAGGGATCTTGCGAAGATGATATAGTTTCAGTCACATTGGAACATGTTATCAATCGTTGCAATAATAGAAAATACAATATAATTCCGCAATATAACATTCTCACAAAAACGTGTATATTAAAATAAATTTTTAAAAATTAATTGAATTACACATAATAGTTAAATTACACATAGAAATAAAACAAGATTTAAAATAATTTTCAAAAATGATGAAGGCGAGTAAATATCAATGATGTAATCTGTGCACGAAATATATAATTTTTCAAATATTTTATGTTTTATTCCTCGAGATTTTGATGTACGAATTATGTGTAAATGTCGATAGCGTTAGTCATACTATGCATGTGCATCAAATGCTTGTTCAAATATATTCTAGCCACCGTCTCCCCCTCTTAGACTTCATGTATACGTCTATCATCTTTATACGTCACTATCATCGTATACGTCTACTCTTTAGAAGGTAAGAAATTGTCGTATTAATTCACGCATGTGCACAGAAGAAACATTCAGAGTTACTCAACGTTGAGTTTTACTCAAGGTAGCAATTTATATTCGCCGATGTTTCTTCTGCGTTTAATTTAATCTTAAAAGAAATGAGAAGAAATTAAAGTTAAATCTTAAATTGTTTCCGAATGAGGTATTAGTATACAAAAATTTCGATTTTCTCCTTTTTGTTCTTTTCTTTTTCTTTTGATTTATCCTTAATCTTCTTAAATTATTCTTTCTCTGTTGTTGTGTATGTCTTAATTTCTATTAATGCATTAATTATTTTTCTTTAATTTTTTTTATATAATGTTTAATAAATACATTTTTTTTTCTTTAATAATAAATTTATTTTCTAAAAAAAATCTTTTTCTCCATAAAAATCGATTATAGTATAAATTAAAAGAAAGGAATTTTTGTTAAAAAATTCTTTAATTGTTTTTTCTTTTTTTAAATAATTTTAAAAAATAAAACAAAAATAATTAATAATTTAATGTTTAATGTAAAATCATGAATTTTAATATTTAAACGAAATTGAATTAAATATTTTCAATTTTTTACAATTTTTTCTTCTATTTACTTTAATTTATTTAAAATATATATACTTAAAACGTAAAATATATATACTTTAAAATATATACTTAAAACGTAAATAGTGTAAGTAATAATAATAATAACAATTTTGATGTAATTATACTCCAAATGTATTCTTAAGATAAATTAAAGTAAATAGAAAATTGTAAAAACACTTTTTAATCAAATTCCATTTAACAAATTAGAATTCATGATTTTTTACAAATTTCTAAAACAATTTTTCTTTATTTTTTCTTATCTATCTTTACATGTTTCATCAATTTTCCTAGTTTTGCGGAAAAGACTAGTCCAATGTAAAGTATCAGAAACACTGCGAGTTTCCCTTGTTATCGTACATTACGTGTTGAGATCGTAATCTTATAGATTAAAACAGTCGATTTATTGAAACAAGGATTGGCAGTTGTATAAGTATAATAAATAGATAGATAGCAATTTACATTTTGTGCAGTCATTGACTTTACGCAGCTCTCATATGTAATGTAAAATGATGATGAACAACAATTTAATTGTCATTTTGTTGTCATTTTCAACGCACTATCATCATTACGCATGGTGCTACAGGATAATAATATGCACAAGGCAAACTAATTGTCTTTATTTTTTCATCATTGATTTAATAATAAAATAAAATTTCCGAATAAAAAGTTTTCTTCACTCATTGTAATATTTTTCATTTTGAAAACTGGAATTATCGTATCGTGTTATAATCCAGACATAATATGTATATATATATATATATATATATATATATATATATATATATTTCTCGAAAGCATGTCCTACTCATGAGTGAATTTTATATTATACATATAATTTTCATATTAAAAATTTTCTTCACTTATTGCACTATTTTCTATATTTTATGATGAAAACCAGAATTATCGCATATTGTTTATAATAGATATAATATATATATAGAATTCACTCACACTGTGGTGTGAGCAGGACATACTTTTGAAAAATATAAGATATATAATATAAGATATATAATTTATAAATAATACAAAAAGGCTTTTTTACGGAACAAATTACTACTATTATGTGCTTATATTGTGAACAGTACAAACTTCGAAAATTCTAAAGTAACATTAAAAAATAACAAAAATAGAATTTCAGAAGTTCTTTTAATTTAAAAAATAATTAAAATTTGAGAGTTCTTAAACGTCTCGGTCCTCGACTAGACTCTCTTTGGTAAGAAATAGGTATCGATATTTAGACGACCGTGTCGACGAGAAAGTGTAAAATTGTGGTTTCGAATCAAAAACGCTTTATCCAATTGATGAATAATTCCAACGAAACATCACGCAAGATAGCTTGGCAAGATGACTTTGCTAATAGTATTGATCTCATATCGGTTTTTAAATATTTTATTTTTATCGGTTTTTAAATATTTTATTTTGATCACTCTTTTAGATTTTTTGATTTTTTTATGTACTTGGCGTATTTTTTTACCTTTATAAGGTTGTTTTTAGGCGATGTTCTATTTTCAGGGATTTTATTTAATTATATGTTTATGTTTCAATGTCGTAAAAGAACATATAACATCTAAGAAAGAATGCATTGTAAGAGCACATGAAAATTATTTTTATATTAAAGAGGAGCTTCTGAAAGCACCTGTCTCGACGTTTTTCATAATATATGTTTTTCTAGCTAAGGTTCTCGTTTAATATTTCACCATCTGTATCCATTTTCTTTTTAGAGGCTTCGTAAGATTATGACAATTCCACAAAACTTATTTATATTAAAAATTTACTGAATATACATAAACATCTTGCGTTATAGAATATCTCGTGAATATAGCATGGAACACAACCAGAAATTGGGCACATATGTTATCCACTGAAAAAATTCGTGCAAATAGCTTCGTAGTTTCTGTCCACAGAGGGCATATCGGCATTTCGGGCTGCGTTCAGAAACACCATCCGAATGTACCCGGATATCATTGTATCCTTGTTTAACATTTGATGAACAACAAGGATAAAATAATATCCGGGGGCACTCGGGTGATGTTTCTTAACTTCAGACTTCAGGCTTCATCGCGCAAACACATGCATGCAAGGTGGTTCCTCATATCGCATCCTTTTGTGACAGGCATTACTGTTTTAGAAATCGTTTAAAAACGGCCTATGGCGTCTTTTGATCTTCTCTCTATCGGTAATTACTTTTATTTATCTCCGCAAAATAATCTACGTTTATATTATTTATCTTCACAAAATATATTTTAGGTTAGAATTCGACATTGAGTTTATTGACTAAATCTCCACTCTAGCAATTACTTAGATTAATTAAATTTAAAATAGTAGCTCACTAAACCTTTCCTGATTATGATTTTATCTATTATAATACAAAGGCAATTTAAGTTGAGCAAATTTTATGATAATTCATGAAAATTAACGTTAACCTCAATCTTATTGTGTACATATGTAGTTGTTTTTGTATTTATAATCAAATATAATTTAGAGAAAGAGTAGAGAGAAAAAAAATATAAAAACTTTAGCAAGATAAAGATATGTCTATCAATTAATGTCATTTATTTAACAATTAATTACATTATAAAAATTAAATGCTTACAAATAGTTATATTTTCTTCTATTAGATCCAACAAGGATATATGATGCAGATTATCTCGGCATTAAAGTTAAGCCAAAGAAAAAGAAATTTGATTCGAGCAAGGACTTTGATCTTGACAAATTTGAAGCTGATATGGGTTGGAAGTCTTCAAAAGTGATTTTTGAACCAACAGAAGAACTAATGCAAATAAGAAAAGAAGTAAATCCATTGGATGAGATTATGAAAAAGAGCGTTATCACTCCTGATTTTGAAAAATTGCATGTTGTACCGCCATATGAGTTGAGCAAACATCGATTGGAAGTACGCAAACAACGCGAAAAACGAAAGATGGGTACAGGTGCAGGATGGTTTAACATGAGAGCACCTAAAATAACGCCAGAGATTAGACATGATCTTGAAGTATTACGAATGAGATCCGCATTAGATCCTAAACACTTTTACAAGAAGAACGATATGAAAGCTTTGCCAAAACATTTCCACATTGGTAAAGTTGTCGATTCTCCAATTGACTTCTATTCTTCGCGTCTTACAAAGAAGGAGCGCAAGAAAACGATCGTTGATGAACTCATGGCTGATGCAGAGTTCACAAAATACAATAAGCGTAAATATAAAGAAATTATTGAAGAGAAGAAAAAAACACATTATAAGGCACACAAACACGCAAAAAGACTTAAAGGAAAAAGAAAGTAATTTATGACAATTATGTAGAATATTTTATATACTTGAAAAATTTTTGTAAAAATGTTTACAAAATTTTTTATTTATCTTTCATATTTATATATATTTAATATTAATAATAAAATAAAAATATAATATCAAATATATATACATACACCAAGTATAATAGCAAATATATATATGCCTACACCAATTTCTCTAAAAAGTATATATTAACAAGAAATATATATTAATATTTGTTTTTAAAGTTTACTTCAGATGATCTTTCGGAATTCGTAACAAAATTTAGACTGAAATTTCGTTATATGATTATCTTTTTATTTATATTGTAATATATAATTTCATGAATAATATTGAAACCAATTAAAGACATATAAAACATATATATGTATAACACTCGACTAATGACGTATTTATATAATACATTTGAGGTATATGTATAAGAATAATAAAACTTAAATTCCTCCACTAATTTCAATAGAGGCTCCATTTATGTAGGAACTCTTATCAGAAGCTAAAAACGCGATAACTTCTGCTACATCTTCTGGTTGTCCTAATCCTTGCAATGGTATTTGTTTTATTAACATTTCTCTACTTTCGTCAGATATATGTGCAGTCATAGGAGTCTCTATAAAACCAGGCAATACTGCATTTATCCGAATTCCAAGACTGTAGAACATACACAATACAGTTACATGTTTTTCATATTAATAAACTTTTTAAATAAATTAATCAAGACATATATCTAATACATACTGTCCAAACTCCAACGAAGCACACTTTGTCATAGCTATCACTCCAGCTTTTGACGCACTGTAAATACTTAGTCCAACGTCTCTATGTGTAGCAGCAAGCGAACTTATATTGATAATTGAAGAATTTTTAGTTACATTTCCCTCTATCATCGCTTTCACAGCAGTTTGCATGACTAGAAAGGTACCTTTTAAATTGATATTAATGACATCATTAAAGGTATTGTCATCAACCTCTGTCAGAATATTTTTGCGATAGATGCCTGCCGAATTAACAATAATAGTAGGAGGCTTTGAAAATTGCTTTATGACATCTAACGCAGCTTTGACACTGATTCGATCCTCGACATTAATATGCAATGCAATATGTTCAGCACCTACAAACAAAAGCATACATGATACAGAGTTTATTTTCAGATGCTTAAAACATTTTATATAAGTATAGCAATTGATTGATCATAAAATAGAATTAAAAAAAATTATTAGAGAGAAATAAATATAATCTCAATAAACTATAAAATTTCAATGTTAAGCATATGAAAATGAACTCTGTTTCAAAAATATATATAATACATATATTAACCTTCTAAAGAGGCAATAGTTTCCTGAGCAGTTTTGATATTCTGATCGGCTGCGACAATGTTTGCACCTTCACGAGATAAAACTCGACATACTTCTCTTCCGATGCCGCTTCCAGCACCTGCAACAGAATCGAGGGATAACTGATAAGATTACGCGTTACTTGGACATTTTAATAATTTAATCTAACATATTTTTGCTAAATAACGATTCTTCTGAACAAATTTTGTTATTTATTTCTTCGGAATGAAAATCTGATGAAATTAAATTAAATACAAAAATATCCACGAACCGGTAACAAGTGCCAGTCTTCCAGCTAAGCGTATCGACATTTCGAAATAGAGATGACGGTTTAAACGACCAGAGCACAACTATAGGCGTATAATAAATAAACCGTTTTTATTCTCTCCTTTGTTCGCGGTAACATTTTAGAAAGAGAGAACTTATTTTCATGGTAGTTTCATCTTTGTTTAACGACGCTAGGGAGGGTGGGGGGGAATCAATCAAAACATATGTCAAATGAAGTAGCTCCCCTCTTGCTATTGATAGAGAGAAAAATTAATACCACAAAAACATGTTGTCCTTCTATAATTTGTTTAACTTTTTAACCAAACGCGATATTTATGAAAATTTTTTTTCAGAAATCCGACGCTTTATTTAAAATTCTGGATAGCCCCTCAAGAGTTCTAACGATTATTATTATTATTAGGATTCGAAGCGCGAAAATCAAAACTGACAGAGTTCTCGACAATTACCGTTTCTCGAATCGAAAATTTCCAAGTCCCTCGGATCGAAAAATTTTTTGCAGAAATCCGGCGTTCAATTAATAGTTCTGGGTAGCCCCTCACGAGTTCTAAAGATTATTAAGATTCGAAGCGCTAAAATCAAAACTGTCAGAGTTCTCGACAATTACCGTTTCTCGAATCGAAAATTTCCAAATCCCTGACGTCGAAAAACTTTTTTCTTTCAGTTTTCAAGCGTAAATATAACGAGATTATTGAAGAGAAGAAAAAGACGCATTATAAGGCACACAAGTACGCAAAAAGACTTAAAGGAAAAAGGAAGTAATTTATCACAATTATGTGAGATATTTACTTAAAAAATTTTTATAAAAATATTTTCAAAATTTTTTATTTATATCTTTAATATTGTAAAATATTGTAAAAATATAATATCATATATGCATACATCAATTTCTCTAAAAAATATATATTAATATGAAAAAAATTTTAATATCTATGTTTAAAGACTGCATTAGATGAATTCTTTCCGAATTTGCGACAAAATTCACAATAGAATTTTATATAATTATTTTTTTCTTTATATTGAAATACATAATTACATGAAAAATATAAAAAAAGCAATGAAAAAAATAAAGCATAGACATATACAAAATATATATCGAAATATTGAATATGTAAAATGCAAAATTATATATAAAATTCTCAAATTTTGTCGCGAATTAAACAGATTACAATAGGAAACCAAGCTTTTTACATATATATATATATATATATATATATATATATATATAATTCTTGACTAATAGCCTATTTATATGGTACGCCTAATGTATATGTATATATGAATAGTAAAACTTAACTAAATCATAATTCAATTCCTCCAGTAACTTCAATAGAGGCTCCATTTATGTAAGAACTCCTATCAGAAGCTAAAAACACGATAACCTCTGCTACTTCTTCTGGCTTTCCCCATCTTTGCAATGGTATTTTTTTTATTAACATTTCCCTATCTTTGTCAGATATATCTGCAGTCATAGGAGTGTCTATAAAACCAGGCAATACTGCGTTTACTCGAATTCCAAACCTGTAGAACATACACAATACAGTTACATGTTTTTCATATTAATAAACTTTTTAAATAAATTAATCAAGACATATATCTAATGCATACTGTCCAAACTCCAACGAAGCGCACTTTGTCATAGCTATCACTCCAGCTTTTGACGCGCTATAAGTACTGTGTCCAACGAATACATGTCTAGCAGCAATCGAACTTATATTGATAATTGAAGAATTTTTGGTTGCATTTCCTTCTATCATCGCTTTAACAGCAGTTTGCATAACTAAAAAGGTACCTTTTAAGTTGACATTAATGATATCATCAAAATTACTTTCATCGAATTTCATCAAAAACATATTCCGCACGATGCCTGCCGAATTTACAATGATAGTAGGAGGCTTTGAAAATTGCTTTATAACATCTTTAAACGCAGTTTCGACACTGTTTCGATCCTCAACATTAATATGCAATGCAATATGTTCAGTACCTGCAAACAAAAATATACATGAGACAGAGTTTAATTTTTGTTTACAATTTGCTATATAGCAAATTAATGATCAAAATATAAAATGAATTATTGAGAGAAATAAATATAATCTCAATAAACTATAAAATTTTAATGTTAAGCATATGAAAATGAACTTTGTATCAGTTTCAAAAGTATATAATATATTGTATATGTAAACCTTCTAAAGAGGCAATAGTTTCCTGAGCAGTTTTGATATTCTGATCGGCTGCGACAACGTTTGCGCCTTCACGAGCTAAAACTCGACATACTTCTCTTCCGATGCCGCTTCCAGCACCTGCAACAGAATCGAGGAAGAACTGATAAGATTACGCGTTACTTGGACATTTTAATAATTTAATCTAACACATTTTTGCTAAACAATGATTCTTCTGAACAAATTTTGTTATTTATTTCTTCGGAATGAAAATCTGATGAAATTAAATTAAATACAAAAATAACCACGAACCGGTAACAAGTGCCAGATTTCCAGCTAAGAGTATCGACATTTCGAAATAAATATGACGGTTTCAACGACCCGAGCACAACTATAGGCGTATAATAAATAAACTGTGCGTTCTCATTCTCTTCTTTGTTTTCGGTAACGTGAAATTTTAGAAAGAGAGAACTTATTTTCATGGTAGCTTCTTCTTTGTTTATCGACGCATGGAGGAGGGAGAGATAATCGATCAAAACATATGTCAAATGAAGTGGCCCCACTTTTGTTATTGATGGACAGAAAAATACCACAGAATAATACCACAGAAACATGTTGTCCTATAATTTGTTTAACTTTTTAGCTAAACGCGATATTTATGAAAATTTTTTTTCAGAAATCCGATGCTTCGTTTAGAATTCTAAGTAGCCCCTATGAGTTCTAAAGATTATTAAGACTCAAAGCGCTAAAATCAAAACTGACTGAGTTCTCGACAATTACCGTTTCTCGAGTCGAAAATTTCTAAATCCCTGACGACAAAAAACTTTTTTCTTTCAGTTTTCGAGCGTAAATATAAAGAGATTATTGAAGAGAAGAAAAAGACGCATTATAAGGCACACAAATACGCAAAAAGACTTAAAGGAAAAAGAAAGTAATTTATCACAATTATGTAAGAGAGAGAGAGAGAGAGATATTTTACATGCTTAAAAAATTTTTGTAAAAATATAATACCAAATATATATTCATACACCAATATATAACAAAAACACCGAAATATAATAGCAAATATATATGCATACACCAATTTCTTTAAAAAATATATATTAATGATATATTAATGATATATTAATATGAAAAAAAAATATTAATATTTATGTCCAAAGACTGCTTTAGATGTATTCTTTCCAAATTCGCGATAAAATTCAGAATGAAATTTTATATAATTATTTTTTTAATTATATTGTAATATATAATTTCATGAAAAATATAAAAAAGCAATGAAAAAAATAAAGTATAGATATATACAAAATATATATCGAAATATTGAATATGTAAAATGCAAAATTATATATAAAATTCTCAAATTTTGTCGCGAATTAAACAATTACAATAGGAAACCAAGCTTTTTACATATATATGTATAATTCTTGACTAATAGTCTATTTATATGATACGCTTAATGTATATGTATATATGAATAGTAAAACTTAATTCAATCCTCCAGTAACTTCAATAGAGGCTCCATTTATGTAAGAACTCCTGTCAGAAGCTAAAAATACAATAACCTCTGCTACTTCTTCTGGCTTTCCCGTTCTTTGTAATGATACATTTTTTTTAAACATTTCCCTTTCTTCATCAGATATATCTGCAGTCATAGGAGTGTCTATAAAACCAGGCAATACAGCATTTACCCGAATTCCAAACCTGTAAAACATACACAATAAAAGTTACATGTTTTTCATATTAGTAAACTTTTTAAATAAATTAATGAAATCTAGCACATACTGTCCAAACTCCAACGAAGCGGTCTTTGTCATAGCTATCACTCCAGCTTTTGATGCGCTATAAGTACTTACTCCAATGTGTCTACCTCTAGCAGCAATCGAACTTATATTGATAATTGAAGAATTTTTGGTTGCATTTCCTTCTATCATCGCTTTAACAGCAATTTGCATCACTAAAAAGGTACCTTTTAAATTGACATTAATGATATCATCAAAATTACTGTCGTCGTGTTTCATCAAAAGGTTATTCCGCATGATGCCTGCCGAATTAACAATGATAGTAGGAGGCTTTGAAAATTGCTTCGTGACATCTTTAAATGCAGTTTCGACACTGCTTCGATCCTCAACATTTATATGCAATGCAATATGTTCTGTACCTGGGAATAAAAGCATACATGATACAGAGTTCATTTTCAGATGATATGTAGCAAATTAATGATTATGAAATAAAATTAATTATTGAAAGAAATAAATATAATCTCAATAAACTATAACATGTGAATGTACAGCATATGAAAATGTATCAAAAATTCTTTTTCCCGTTTTGGCATAATATATATATATATATATATATATATATATATATACATATAATATAATGTAATATAATATAAACCTGTTAAAGAGGCAACAGTTTCCTGAGCAGTTTTAATATTCTGATCGGCAGCGACAACGTTTGCACCTTCGCGAGCTAAAACTCGACATACTTCTCTTCCGATCCCGCTTCCAGCACCTACAACAGAATCGAGAAAGAACTGATAAGATTACGCACTACTTTGCATTTTAATATTCTAATCTAACTCTTTTTTGCTGAATAATGATTCCTCTAAACAAATTTTGCTATTTATTTCTTCGGAATGAAAATCTGATTAAACTAAATTAAATAAAAAAAGATTCACGAACCGGTAACAAGTGCCAGTTTTCCAGCTAAGAGTATCGACATTTCGAAACAAAAATTATGGTTTAAACGATCTTAGTACAACTGGTCTCATCAGCAGGTCTAATCGATACTGTTGAAATCTGCGATAAACTTGTTGCGTAAAGAAGAATATGCTTGATTATCGAAAGATTCTGATAAGATTTTAGAAAAGATTGTTATCATTCTAAATTTCGAAGCATTGTTGCACATTGTACTACTGTGTGAGTTGGTCAAATATCAATTGAAAACAACGCGAAAAATGTAAGATGGATATATAGGAATGGATTGGTTTAACATGAAAACACCTAAATAGCACCATATATTAGGCATGATCTTGAAGGATTATGAATGAGATCCACATTATTTATATTTTAAACACTTTTACAAGATGAATGATACCAAAATATTGCTGAAACACTTACATGTTGGTAAAATTGTCGATTCTACAATCGACTTTTATTCTTTGCATTTTACAAAGAAGGGACGCAGGAAAACGCAGGAAACGATCGTTGCTAAAATTATGGCTATGTAGAATTCGCAAAATACAATAAACGTAAATATGAAGAGATTATTGAAGAGAAGAAAAAGACGGATTATAAGGAACACAAACACGCAGAAAGATTTAAAGGGAAAAGAAAGTAATTTATGACAATTATGTTGAATATTTTATATACTTGAAAAATTTTTGTAAAAATGTTTACAAAATTTTTATTTACCTTTAACATTAATATATTTAATATTAATAATAAAATAAAAATATAATACCAAATATATATACCAAGATATAATACCAAATACATACACCAAGATATAATAGCAAATATATATATATATATATATATATATATATATATATTTGCTATTATATCTTGGTATATATATATGCCTACACCAACTTTTCTAAAAGTATATATTAAAAAGTATATATCAATATGAAAAATATATATTAATATTTATGTTTAAAGTTTACTTTAGATGATTTTTCGGAATTTGCAACAAAATTTAGACTGAAATTCCGTTATATGATTATCTTTTTATTTATATTGTAATATATAATTTCATGAATAATATTGAAACCAATTAAAGAAATAAAATATCGAAACATTGAATATATATAGAATGTGAAATTATAAATAAAATTTGTCAATTTTTCCGCAAATTAAATGGATTACTATAAAAAAAAATAAGTTTTATATTTATACATACACACATATGTATAATATACCTGATGTGTACATGTATACAAATAATAAAACTTAAAGGCCTCCACTAACTTCAATAGAGGCTCCATTTATGTAGGAACTCTTATCGGAAGCTAAAAACAAGATAACCTCTGCTACATCTTCTGGCTTTCCCAATCTTTGCAATGGTATTTGTTTTATTAACATTTCCCTAACTTCGTCAGATATATCTGCAGTCATAGGAGTGTCTATAAAACCAGGCAATACAGCATTTACCCGAATTCCAAACCTGTAAAATATACATAATACAGTTACATGTTAGCAAATTTTCTAAATAAATTAATCTCTCTCTCTCAAGATATATATTTAATACATACTGTCCAAACTCCAACGAAGCGGTCTTTGTCATAGCTATCACTCCAGCTTTTGACGCACTGTAAATACTTAGTCCAACGTCTCTATGTGTAGCAGCAAGCGAACTTATATTGATAATTGAGGAATTTTCGGTTGCATTTCCCTCTATCATCGTTTTAACAGCAGTTTGCATGACTAGGAAGGTACCTTTTAAATTGGTATTGATGACATCATCAAAGGCATTGTCATCAACTTCTATCAAAAGATTTCTCCGATGGATGCCTGCCGAATTGACAATAATGGTAGGAGGCTTTGAAAATTGCTTCACGACATCTTTAAATGCAGTTTCAACACTGTTTCGATCATTAACATTCATATTCAATGCGATATGTTCAGCACCTGCAAACAAAAGTTTGTTATATAACAAATCAAATAGTCAATAAAATATTAATTGAGAGAATAAAGTAATATACTTCGAATAAACTATCAAAATTTGAAGGCTGTAAGCATATGAGAATGAACTCTGTATCAATTTCAGAAATTCTCTCTCATCTCTCTCTCTCAACATAAGGATATATATATATATATATATATATATATATATATATATATATATATACAAACCTTCTAAAGTGGCAACAGTTTCCTGAACAGTTTTGATATTCTGATCGGTCGCGACAACAATTGCACCATCGCGAGCCAAAACTCGGCATACGTGTCTTCCAATGCCGCTTCCAGCACCTGCAGAATCGTAAAAGTGCAGATAAGATTACGCGCATCTTTGCATTTTAGTATTTTAATCTAACGTTCATTTTAGCTGAGTAATTATTACTAGGACAAATTTTACCATTTATTTCTCCAGAATCAAAATAAAAATGCGATTAAACTAAATTAAATAAAAAAAGATCCACGAACCGGTAACAAGTGCCAGTTTTCCATCTACGAGTCTAGACATTTCGAAAAAAAGATTAAGGCTTTGGAAATGATGGGAGCACAACTCGTCTCGTCAGCGGGCCTAACAAGCACTGTTAAAACTTGCTAAACTTGTTGTATGATAGAGAAAAATACGCTTGCTTATCGAAAGATTTTTTCGATAAGATTTGGCATAATTATTGTACATACCATTGAATAAATTGAGTATACATCAATTAGAAATGCGTAAACAACGCGACAAATGAAAGATGAATATATAGAAGATTGTATGTTTAACGTGAGAGCACCTAAATATAATAACGCCATATATTAGGCATGATCTTGAAGGATTATGAATGAGATCCGTATTAAATTTCAAACACTTCTACAAGAAGAATGACAAGAAAGCATTCCCAAATTACTTCCATAGTGATAAGGTTATCGATTCACCAATCTATTTATTTTTTTTTCACATTTTATAAAGATGGAGCACAAGAAAACGATCGTTGAATTTACGGCTGATGCAGAGTTCACAGTACAATAAGCGTAAATATAAAAAGATTATTAAAGAGAAGAAAAAGACGCATTATAAGGCACACAACACACAAAAAGATTTAAAGGAAAAAGAGGCAATTTATCACAATTATGTAGAATAATTTACACACTTGAAAAATTTTTCTAAAAATATTTATAAAATTCTTATTTGTATCTTTCATATTGTAAAAATATTATATATATATATATATATATATATATATATATATATATATATACACAAATATATACATATATATAATAATATCAAAAATTCCACAATATAATAGTAATGTATATGCATATACCAATTTCTCTAAAAAATATATATTAATATGAAAGAAAATATTAATATCTATGTTTAAAGACTACTTTAGATGAATTTTTTCCGAATTCGCGACAAAATTCAGAATAGAATTTTATATAATTATTTTTTATATATATTCTATTATATATAATTTCGTGAAAAATATAAATAAAACAACGAAAAACATAAAATATCGATAAATACAAAATAGATATCGAAAAATAAAATATGTAAAATGTAAAATTATGAATAAAATTCTTAAATTTTGTCGCGAATTAAATAGATTACTATAAAAAAATAAGCTTTTGACATATATATGTATAATTCTTGAATTCATATCCTATTTATATGATACGCTTAATTTAGGGAAGATCGGGGACAAAAGTAACAATGTCATAGAAAGTAACAAGCCTCCTAGTAAACTACACAATATATTGAATAATTTGTACTATATAGTCAAACGCGTACGCCCCGATTCTCTTCCTTTTCAGCTAATTGTTGTAGAACGATCGCGTCAGTTGCACATGCAGGAGTGAAATTAGTGTATTTGCATTATTCACCTAAGTATTTCTTGTATTGTTTTAGTTTTTTTGTATTTATGCCTAATTAAAGTGTATATTGACGTAATTATTTGCCGGTTCTTCCAAAATGTATTTATAAGTTTTTATAGTTGATTTGATTAATTAAAGTGTATATATGGACATAATTATTTGCCGGTTCTTCCAAAATGTATTTATAAGTTTTTATAGTTGATTTGATTAAGTTTTGCATCATATTTAGGTTATAATACTTGTATTCTAAAAAATGTTGGGGACGAAAGTAACACGACATTCTGTAGACGAACGTAACATATTTCAATGCTTAAAGTATGAGGGCAGGTCCTATAATAACTGTACCAAAGGCAATTCTTATTACGTATGCCATAATTGTGATTCGGAATAGATACAAATCTCTTTTGTATAAGTAGTTATCATACAACTTTTACACTATTATATAGAATTAAACTATTATACTTTAGACTTAAAATAGTACAAAATTGGTGTGATATTAAGTATAATTATTTTATGATATTATTTATAATTATTTTACTTAACGAAGATTATTTTTTTTAAGTTTTTTAAAGATCATAAAAATAAATATTTATTTTATTTTTGATTTTAATACAAAATAATACAAATTTATAATTAAAGTTATCTTGCTTAACAAAAGATTATAATAAAAGTTGTCTTAAATTGAAAAAAGTCATACCTATTTTATTTTCCCGAAAATAAGAACTGTTACTTTCATCCCCAGACTATGTTACTTTCGTCCCCAGTCCCCAGGACAAAAGTAACAATCAACGTACTTGCAAAAAGCTATAATAACTCTTTAAATATTTATCATTTGAGATTGAAACATGGATACAATAATAGAGCAATAAATGGAGTTTCTTAACATATAATCTTTTTTTATATTTTTAAGGATAATTAATTAGTGACTTATAATACAAAAAATGCTACTTTTACTCCGATCTCCCGTATATGTATATATGAATAGTAAAACTTAATTCAATCTTAATTTATTCCTCCAGTAACTTCAATAGAGGCTCCATTTATATAAGAACTTCTATCAGAAGCTAAAAACACGATAACCTCTGCTACTTCTTCTGGCTTTCCGGCTCTTTGTAATAGTACATTTTTTATCAACATTTCCATAGTTTCGCCAGGTATATTTGCAGTCATAGGAGTGATTATAAGACCAGGCAATACTGCGTTTACTCGAATTCCAAACCTGTAAAACATATATAATACAGTTACATGTTTTTCATATTAGCAAACTTTTTAAATAAATTAATCAAGATATATATTTAACACATACTGTCCAAACTCCAACGAAGCGCACTTTGTCATAGCTATCACTCCAGCTTTTGACGCGCAATAAATACTATGTCCAATGAAGTTACAATGTTTAGCAAGAATCGAACTTATATTGATAATTGAAGAATTTTCGGTTGCATTTCCTTCTATCATCGCTTTAACAGCAGTTTGCGTCACTAAAAAGGTACCTTCTAAGTTGACATTAATGATATCATCAAAATTACTTTCATCGAACTTTATCAAAAACATTTCCCGCGCGATGCCTGCCGAATTAACAATGATAGTAGGAGGCTTTGAAAATTGTTTCATGACATATTTAAACGCAGTTTCGACACTGTTTCGATCCTCAACATTAATATGCAATGCAATATGTTCAGTTCCTGCAAACAAAAGCATACATGATATAGAGTTTATTTTTAGATGTTTACAACATTTGTGAACTCTATAGAAAATTAATGATCATAATATAGAATTAATTATTGAGAGAAATAAATATAATCTCAATAAACTATAACATTTCAATGTTAAGCATATGAAAATAAACTCTGTATTCTAAATAAAATGTCCTCCTTCATTCTTCTTTTGACATAAAAAACTATATAATATATATAAACCTTCTAAATAAGCAACAGTTTCCTGAGCAGCTTTGATATTCTGATCGGCTGCGACAACGTTTGCGCCTTCACGAGCTAAAACTCGACATACTTCTCTTCCAATGCCGCTTCCAGCACCTGCAACAGAATCGAAGAAGAACTGATAAGATTACGCGTTACTTGGACATTTTAATAATTTCATCTAACACATTTTTGCTAAATAACGATTCTTCTCAACAAATTTTGTTATTTATTTTTTCGGAATTAAAATCTGATGAAATTAAATAAAATACAAAAATAATCATGAACCGTAACAAGTGCCAGTTTTCCAGCTAAGAGTATCAACATTTCGAACTAAATATGACGGTTTCAACGATCTGAGCACAACTATAGGCGTATAATAAATAAATCGTGCGTTCTCGAAACATGAAATTTTAGAAAAAGAGAACTTATTTTCATGGTAGTTTCATCTCTGTTTAACGATGCTTAGGGGAGAGGGGGAATCGATTAAAACATATGTCAACTGAAGTGGTCCCACTCTTGTTATTGATAGAGAAAAAAACTAATACCACAAAAGCATGTTGTCTTTCTATAATTTGTTTAACTTTTTAGCCAAACGCGATGATTATGAAAAATTTTTTTCAGAAATCCGACGATAGACTCATAGAAATAGCACATAAGATTACGTGCTACTTTGCATTTTAGTATTCTAATTTAACGTTTTTTTTTTTTGTTGAATAACGATTCCTCTGAACAAATTTTGCTATCTATTTCTTCAGAATGAAAATCCGATTAAATTAAATAAAGAAAGATCTACGAACCAGTAACAAGTGCCAGTTTTCCATCTACGAGACTGGACATTTCGAAACAATGACTACGGTTTAAACAATCAGGACACAACTTATTTCATCAGCGGGTCTAGTCGACACTGTTGAAATCTGCAATCTTAATCTGTTGCATGTAAAGGAAAATGCGCTTGCTTTATCGAAAACTTTTTGATAAGATGTTGAAAAAGCTCATTATCACTCTAGATTAGAAAAATAGTTGCACGTTGCACAACTGCATGAGTTTGAACAAATATCAATTGGAAGTGCGTAAACAACTTATGAAGGATGGATATATACGGATAGATTGATTTAACGTGAGAGCACCTAAATAACGCCAGATATTAGGCATTATCTTGAAGAATTATGAATAAAATCCGCATTAAATCTCAAACATTTTACAAGAAGAATGACATAAAAACATTGCCGAAACACTACCATGTTGGTAAGGTTGTCGATTCTCTAATGGACTTCTACTTTTAGCGTCTTACAAAGAAAGAATGTAGGAAAACAATTTTTGATGAAATTATGGCTGATGAAAAGTTCATAAATAAGCGCAAAATACAATAAACATAATTATAAAGAAATTATTGAAGAGGAGGAAAAGACGCATTATAAGGCACACAATACGCAAAAAGACTTAAATGAAAAAGGAAGTAGTTTACTACAATTATGTAGAATTATGTTACATATTTGAAAAATTTTTGTAAAAATATTTACAAAATTTTTTATTTATATCTTTAATAATGTAAAAATATAATACCAAATATATATACATATACCAATTATGTTTAAAAAATATCAAAATATAATAGCAAATAGATACACACAATTTCTCTAAAAAATATATATTAATATGAAAAAAAATATTAATATCTATGTTTAAAAACTGTTTTAGATAACTTCTTTCCGAATTCGCGACAAAATTCAAAATGGAATTTTATACAATTATTTTTTAATTTAATTTCTAATATATAATTTCATAAAAAATATAAAAGAACAATGAAATAAATAAAATATCGATATATATAAAATATATATCGAAATATAGAATATGTAAAATATAAAATTATAAATAATATTCTTAAATTTTGTCGCGAATTAAAAGGATTACTATAAAAAAGTAAGCTTTTTACATATATATGTATAATTTTTGATTAACAACCTATTTATATGATACGCCTAATGCATGTGCATATATGAATAGTAAAACTAATTCAATCCTAATTCAATCCTCCAGTAACTTCAATAGGGACACCATTTATGTAAGAAATTCTATCAGAAGCTAAAAACACGATAATCTCTGCTACTTCTTCTGGCTTTCCAAATCTTTATAATGTATAGTTTTTATAAATATTTGCGTGACTTTGTCAGATATATCTGCAATCATAGAAATGTCTATAAAACCAGCCAATACTGCGTTTACCCGAATTCCAAATCTACAGAACATACATATTACATGTTTTTTATATTAACAACTTTTTAAATAAATTAATCAAGACATATATCTAATACATACTGTCCAAACTCTAACGAAGCGTTCTTTGTTATAGCTATCACTCCTTTTGTCGCGCAAGAAGTACTATGTCCAACGTACGTACGCCTAGCAGCAATCAAACTTATATTGATAATTGAAAAATTTTCGATTGCATTTCCTTCTATTGCTTTAACAGCAGTTTTGCATGACTAAAAAGGTAATTATAAATTGATATTAATGATAGCTTCAAAATTACTGTCGTCGAATTTCATCAAATACATTTTCCGCGTGATGCCTGCAGAATTAACAATGAGAATAGGAGGCTTTAAAAATTGCTTCACGACATCCTTAAACGCAGTTTCGACATTGTTTCGATCCTTGACATTAGTCAGCAATGCAGTATGTTCGGCACCTGCAAACAAATGTGTGTTATATAACGAATCAAATAGTCAATAAAATATTAAATAGAGAGATTACGAGAGAATAAAGTAATAAATATAATGCTGATAAACTATCAAAATTTCAAGGCTGTGCATATGAGAATGAACACTGTATCAATTTCAAAAGTTTATTCTCCCTCTTTCTCTTTTAACATAAGGATATATGTGAAGAATATATGAACCTTTTAAAAGCAAAAGTTTTCTAAATAATTTTAATATTCCGTCCGGTCGCGCCATCGCGAGCCAAAACTTGACATACCTCATTTTCAATGCCGCTCTCTGTATCTGTAGAATCGTGAAAGAGCAGATAAGATTACACGCTACTTTGCATTTTAGTATTCTAATTTAACGCATTTTTGCTGAGTAATGAATACTGCGACAAATTTTGCTATTTATTTCTTTAGAACCAAAATGAAAATCCGATTAAACTTTAAACGTTAAATTAAATAACAGAAGATCCACTAACCGATAACAAGTGCCAATTTTTCACCTACGAGTCTCGACATTTCGAAAAAAAAAGATTAGGGCTTTGGAAACAATCGGAGCACAACTCGTCTCATCAGCAAACCTAATTGATACTGTTTAAATCTACGATAAACTTGTTGCATCGTAGAGGAAAATACACTTGCTTATTGAAAGAATTCTAATGAGATTTTGAAGCACATCTTTATCACTCTAGATTTCGACATTGTACTATTATGAGTTCGTCAAATATCAATTGAAAATGCGTAAACAATACGTAAATAATGAAAAATGAAAGATGGATACATATAAGAACAGATTGGTTTAACGAGAGAGCACCTAAATAACGCCAGATATTAGGCATTGATCTTGGAGAGTTATAAATGAAATCCGCATTAAATCTCAAGCATTTCTACAAAAAGAATGACATGAAAATATTGCCGAAACACTTCCATATTGGTAAGGTTGTCGATTCTCTAATTGATTTCTATTTTTCGCGTTTTATAAAGAAGAAGCGCAAAAAAACGATCGATGAAATTGAATGATGTAGAGTTCACAAAATACAATAAGCGTGAATTTAAAGAGTTTATTGAAAAAAAGAAAAAGATGCATTATAAAGCAATGATTTATTTATATATTTAATATTATAAAAATATAATACCAAAAATATATACATACACCATATATAACAAATATATAACAAAAATATCAAGATATAATATCAAATATATATGCATACACCAATTTCCCTAAAAAATATATATTAATATGAAAAAAAATATTAATATCTATGTTTAAAGATTGCTTTAGATGAATTCGTTCCGAATTTACGACAAAATTCAGAATGAAATTGTATGTAATTAATTTTTTTCTTTATATTATAATATTAATGATAGCTTCAAAATTACTGTCGTCGAATTTCATCAAATACATCTTTCGCATGATGCCTGCAGAATTAACAATGAGAATAGGAGGCTTAATGTAATTATAATATATAATTACATGAAAAATATAGAAAAAACAATGAAAAAATAAAATATCAATATACATATCCAAAATATATATCAAAATAAAGAATATGCAAAATGTAAATTTATAAAAAAAATTCTTAAATTTTGTCGCTATTTAAATAGATTACTATAGCAAGCTTTTATACTAAAGCAAACTTTTTACATATATATGTATAATTCTTGATCAATAACCTATTTAAATGATACGCCTAATGTATATGTATATGTATATGCATATAAAGAGTAAAACTTCAACTAAAAATTCAATCCTCCAGTAATTTCAATAGATGCTCCATTTATGTAAGAACTCCTATCAGAAGCTAAAAATACAATAACCTCTGCTACTTCTTCTGGCTTTCCCAATCATTGCAATGGTATATTTTTTTTAAACATTTCCCTATCTTCGTCAGGTACTTGTGCAATCATAGGAGTCTCTATCAAACCAGGCAATACTGCGTTAACCCGAATTTCAAACCTGTAAAACATACACAATAAAAGTTATATGTTTTTCATATTAGTAAACTTTTTAAATAAATTAATGAAATCTAACACATACTGTCCAAATTCCAACGAAGCGGTCATAGCTATCACTCCAGCTTTGGACGCGCTATAAGTACTGTGTCCAACGAATCTATGTCTAGCCGCAATCGAACTTATATGATAATTGAAGAATTTTTGGTTGCATTTCCTTCTATCATCGCTTTAACAGCAATTTGCATCACTAAAAAGGTACCTTTTAAATTGACATTAATGATATCATCAAAATTACTGTCGTCGTGTTTCATCAAAAGGATATTTCGCGTGATGCCTGCCGAATTAACAATGATGGTAGGAAGCTTTGAAAATTGCTTCGTGACATCTTTAAATGCAGTTTTGACACCGCTTCGATCCTCAACATTTATATGCACTGCAATATGTTCTGTACCTGGGAATAAAAGCATACATGATACAGAGTTCATTTTCAGATGATATGTAGCAAATTAATGATTATGAAATAGAATTAATTATTGAAAGAAATAAATAATAATCTCAATAAACTATAACATGTCAATGTACAGCATATGAAAATGTACTTTGTATCAAAAATTCTTTTTCCCGTTTTGGCATAATATATATATATATATATATATATATATATATATATATATATATATATATATACAGGGTGGGTCATTTTAAGTGATCCACCCCAATAACTTTTTTATATTTGAATGTACAACAAAATGTTTCAAATAAAAGTTGCTTGACTTCGAGGGGGACAAAAGATGGGTGGCAAAAATTTGACCTTGGATAGTCATTTGAAGATCACATAAAGATTACCTTCAATTTCTTAAATGGAACCCCCTATTTTTCATTGCATATTCTTGTAGCTTATCTCGATTGCTTTCCAAAACACTATAATTAAGTACCTTTTTATTAAGTACTTTTTGAGTTATAAGGCTTGAAATAATTTCTTAATTTTACATAAACCATAAAATATCTAGTAAACCATTCATTTTTCGATTATCTTACCTTCATACTTTTATGTACAAAATAATGAGGAATCAATTGGTGTAAAGAAAACACATAGTTGTTTCTAAGAAAAAATATGTAATTTGCAATTAACAATTCCAGAAAATATTGCCGAAACGCTTCCACGTTGGCTCTAATTGACTTTTATTTTTCCGGTCTTATAAAGAAGAAACGCAGGAAAACGCAGGAAACGATCGTTGCTAAAATTATGGCTATGTAGAATTCGCAAAATACAATAAACGTAAATATAAAGAGATTATTGAAGAGAAGAAAAAGACGGATTATAAGGAACACAAACACGCAGAAAAACTTAAAGGGAAAAGAAAGTAATTTATGACAATTATGTTGAATATTTTATATACTTGAAAAATTTTTGTAAAAATGTTTACAAAATTTTTATTTACCTTTAACATTAATATATTTAATATTAATAATAAAATAAAAATATAATACCAAATATATACACCAAGATATAATACCAAATACATACACCAAGATATAATAGCAAATATATATATATATATATATATATATATATATATATATATATATGCCTACACCAACTTTTCTAAAAGTTTCCTTTCTATATATTAAAAAGTATGTATCAATATGAGAAATATATATTAATATTTATGTTTAAAGTTTACTTTAGATGATCTTTCGGAATTTGCAACAAAATTTAGACTGAAATTCCGTTATATGATTATCTTTTTATTTATATTGTAATATATAATTTCATGAATAATATTGAAACCAATTAAAGAAATAAAATATCGAAACATTGAATATATATAGAATGTGAAATTATAAATAAAATTTGTCAATTTTTCCGCAAATTAAATGGATTACTATAAAAAAAATAAGTTTTATAATTATCATACACACATATGTATAATATACCTGATGTGTACATGTATACGAATAATAAAACTTAAAGGCCTCCACTAACTTCAATAGAGGCTCCATTTACGTAGGAACTCTTATCGGAAGCTAAAAACAAGATAACCTCTGCTACATCTTCTGGCTTTCCCAATCTTTGCAATGGTATTTGTTTTATTAACATTTCCCTAACTTCGTCAGATATATCTGCAGTCATAGGAGTGTCTATAAAACCAGGCAATACAGCATTTACCCGAATTCCAAACCTGTAAAATATACATAATACAGTTACATGTTAGCAAATTTTCTAAATAAATTAATCTCTCTCTCTCAAGATATATATTTAATACATACTGTCCAAACTCCAACGAAGCGGTCTTTGTCATAGCTATCATTCCAGCTTTTGACGCGCTATAAGTACTTAATCCAATGGATCTACCTCTAGCAACAATCGAACTTATATTGATAATTGAGGAATTTGTGGATGCATTTCCCTCTAACATCATTTTAACAGCAGTTTGCATGACTAGGAAGGTACCTTTTAAATTGGTATTGATGACATCATCAAAGGCATTGTCATCAACTTCTATCAAAAGATTTCTCCGATGGATGCCTGCCGAATTGACAATAATGGTAGGAGGCTTTGAAAATTGCTTCACGACATCTTTAAATGCAGTTTCAACACTGTTTCGATCATTAACATTCATATTCAATGCGATATGTTCAGCACCTGCAAACAAAAGTTTGTTATATAACAAATCAAATAGTCAATAAAATATTAATTGAGAGAATAAAGTAATATACTTCGAATAAACTATCAAAATTTGAAGGCTGTAAGCATATGAGAATGAACTCTGTATCAATTACAGAAATTCTCTCTCTCTCTCTCTCTCTCTCTCTCTCTCTCTCTCTCAACATAAGGATATATATATATATATATATATATATATACACAAACCTTCTAAAGTATACAAACCTTCTAAAGTGGCAACAGTTTCCTGAACAGTTTTGATATTCCGACCTGTCGCGACAACAATTGCACCATCGCGAGCCAAAACTCGGCATACCTGTCTTCCAATGCCGCTTCCAGCACCTGCAGAATCGTAAAAGAACAGATAAGATTATATTTGCCTCTTTACATTTTAGTATTCTAATCTATCGTTCATTTTAACTGAGTAATTATTACTAGAACAAATTTTACTATTTATTTCTCCAGAATCAAAATAAAAATCCGATTAAACTAAATTAAATAAAAAAAGATCCACGAACCGGTAACAAGTGCCAGTTTTCCATCTACGAGTCTAGACATTTCGAAAAAAAAGATTAAGGCTTTGGAAATGATTGGAGCACAACTCGTCAGCGGGCTTAACAAACACTGTTGAAACTTGTGACAAACTTGTTAATGGTAGAGATAAATATGCTTGCTTATCGAAAGATTTTTTCGATAAGATTTGTCATAATTATTGTATATACCATTGAATAAGTTGAATATATATCAATTAGAAGTGCTTAAACAACGCGAAAAATGAAAGATGAATATATAGAAGATTGGTTTAACGTGAGAGCATCTAAATATAATAACGCCAGATATTAGGCATTGATCTTGGAGGATTATAAATGAGATCCGCATTAAATCTCAAGCATTTCTACAAAAAGAATGGCATGAAAACATTGCCGAAACACTTCCATATTGGTAAGGTTGTCGATTCTCCAATTGATTTCTATTTTTCGCGTTTTATAAAGGAGCTCAAAAAAATGATCGATGAAATTGGATGATGTAGAGTTCACAAAATACAATAAGCGTGAATATAAAGAGTTTAGTGAAAAAAAAAGAAAAATATGCATTATAAAGCAATGTTTTATTAATATATTTAATATTATAAAAATATAATACCAAAAATATATACATACACCAATATATAACAAAAATATCAAGATATAATATCAAATATATATACATACACTAATTACCCTAAAAAATATATATTAATATGAAATATATATTAATATGAAAAAAAATATTAATATCTATGTTTAAAAATTGCTTTAGATGAATTCGTCCCAAATTTGCGACAAAGTTCAGAATGAAATTGTATGTAATTAATTTTTTTCTTTATATTATAATATATAATTACATGAAAAATATAGAAAAAAACAATGAAAAAATAAAATATCGATATACATGTCCAAAATATATATATCGAAGTAAAGAATATGCAAAATGTAAATTTATAAAAAAAATTCTTAAATTTTGTCGCTATTTAAATAGATTACTATAGCAAGCTTTCATACTAAAGCAAACTTTTTACATATATATGTATAATTCTTGATCAATAGCCTATTTAAATGATACGCCTAATGTATATGTATATGTATATGAAGAGTAAAACTTCAACTAAAAATTCAATCCTCCAGTAATTTCAATAGAGGCTCCATTTATGTAAGAACTTCTATCAGAAGCTAAAAACACGATAACCTCTGCTACTTCTTCTGGTTTTCCTAATCTTTGTAATGGTATATTTTTAATAAACATTTCCCTAGTTTCATTAGGTACATTTGCACTCATAGGAGTAATTATAAATCCAGGCAATACTGCGTTTACCCGAATTCCAAACCTGTAAAACATATATAATACAGTTACATGTTTTGGATATTAGCAAACTTTTTAAATAAATTAATCAAGATATATATCTAACACATACTGTCCAAACTCCAACGAAGCGCACTTTGTCATAGCTATCACTCCAGCTTTTGACGTGGAATAAATACTATATCCAATTAAGTTACAATGTTTGGCAAAAATCGAACTTATATTGATAATTGAAGAATTTTTGGTTGCATTTCCTTCTATCATCGCTTTAACAGCAGTTTGCGTTACTAAAAAGGTACCTTTTAAATTGACATTAATGATATCATCAAAATTACTGTCGTCGTGTTTCATCAAAAGGGTATTCCGCACGATGCCTGCCGAATTAACAATGATAGTAGGAGGCGTTGAAAATTGCTTCACGACATCTTTAAACGCAGTTTCGACACTGCTTCGATCCTCAACATTAATATGTAATGCAATATGTTCAGTACCTGGGAACAAAAGCATACATGATACAGAGTCCATTTTCAGATGCTTACAACATTTTCTATATAGCAAATGATTCATTATAAAATAAAATTAATTATTGAGAGAAATAAATATACTCTCAATAAACTCTAACATTTCAATAAGCATATGAAAATGAACTCTGTATCAGCTTCAAAAATTCCCTCTTTCTCCTTCTGGCATAAAAAATATATAATATATATAAACCTTCTAAAAAGGCAACAGTTTCCTGAGCAGTTTTAATATTCTGATCAGCTGCGACAACGTTTGCGCCTTCTCGAGCTAAAACTCGACATACTTCTCTTCCGATGCCGCTTCCAGCACCTGCAATAGAATGATAGAAATAGCAGATAAGATTACGCGCTACTTTGCATTTTAGTATTCTAGTTTAACACGTGTAATGATTATTCAAATCTAACCCATTTTTGCTGAGTAATAATTACTCGAACAAATTTTGCTATTTATTTTTCTAAAATTAAAATGAAAATCCGCGATTAAACTAAATTAAATAAAGAAAGGTCCACAAACCAGTGACAAGTGCCAGTTTTCCATCTACGAGTCTAGACATTTCGAAAAAAAAAGATTAAGGATAATTTTAGAAATAATCGGAGCACAACTCGTCTCGTCAGTGAACCTAACGAACACTGTTGAAACTTGTTGTATGGTAGAGAAAAATAAAAAATCTAATCTTTCTTCTCTTAATAAAAAGTCGAATCTTTCTTATCGAAAGACTTTTCGATAAGACTTGGCAAATTGATTGTACATATCATTGAATAAGTTGAACACATATCAATTGGAAGTGAGTAAACAACGCGAAAAATGAAAGATGGATATATAGAAACAGATTGGTTTAACGTGAGATCACCTAAATATAATAACGCCATATATTAGGCATGATCTTGAAAGATTATGAATGAGATCCGCATTAAATCTCAAGCACTTCTACAAGAAGAATGACATGAAAACATTTTCGAAACACTTCCATATTAAAGTTGTCAATTCTCCAAACGATTTCTACTTTTCGCATCTTAGAAACAAAGAAAAACGATCGATGAAATTATGGCTGATGTAGAGTTCGCAAAATACAATAAGCGTAAATATAAAGTAGCGTAAATATAAGTTTATTGAAAAAAAGAAAAAGATGCATTATAAAGCAAGCAAAAAGTTTTAAGGAAAAAAGACATTTTAAGTGCTTAAAGCTTGGTGTAAAAATATTTACAAAATGTTTTGGTTATTTCTTTAATATTATAAAAATATAACATCAAAAATATATACATACACCAATATATAACAAAAATACCAAGATATAATAGCAAATATATATGGATACACCAATTTCCCTAAAAAATATATTAATATGCAAAAAAATATTAATATGTATGTTTAAAGACTGCTTTACATGAATTCTTTCCAAATTCTCGACAAAATTCAGAATGGAATTTTATACAATTATGTTTTTCTTTATATTGTAATAAATAATTTCATGAAAAATATAAAGAAAACAATAAAAAAAATAAAATATAGATACATATACAAAATATATATCGAAATACAGAATATGTAAAATGTAAAATTATAAATAAAATTCTTAAATTTTGTCGCGAATTAAATAGATTACTATAGCAAGCTTTTATAAAGCAAACTTTTTACATATATATGTATATAATTCTTGATCAATAGCCTATTTATATGATACACCTAATATATATGTATATATGAATAGCAGGGTTGGGAAAGTTACTTTTTAAAAGTAATTCACATCGTTTCCGTTACCGTTCTTTTTTCTAAAAAATAACTCCTTATTCGTTACCAATTTTCAAAAGTAACTCATTACTGTTACCGTTACGTAAAATTAACGCATCGTTACAAATTTCGTTACTTTTTTAAATATAAGTTTATTAAATATTACAGGGTTTATTTTAAAATAAATGAAAACATTACTAAATTTTATCGAAACTCTTTATTAATTTTTAAAAGAATTTACTGTTCAATTGTGTCATTTAGCTGCCGTCTTTAGTGGCATTAATACAGATCCACCGACAATGAACATCTTCACTGAACTTTTTCTTTCATATGTGTCCAATGACGCGTTTACGTACATGTGATTTTGCATTCCCCACTCTTCTTTGAATGAAAATTACACCGAGTAAATTTGCAAAAAGTAGCGATAAAAGTAACTGTTAAATTTGTTACTCGTTACCGAATAATGTAACGACGTTACAAGTAACGCGTTACTTCCCAACCCTGATGAATAGTAAAACTAATTCAATCTTAATTTAATCCTCCAGTAACTTCAATAGAGGCTCCATTTATGTAAGAACTTCTATAGGAAGCTAAAAATACAATAACCTCTGCTACTTCTTCTGGTTTTCCTAATCTTTGTAATGGTATATTTTTAATAACCATTTCCCTAACTTCGTCAGGTATAATTGCAGACATAGGAGTGATTATAAAACCAGGCAATACTGCATTTACTCGAATTCCAAACCTGTAAAACATATATATGTAATACAGTTACATGTTTTTCATATTAGCAAACTTTTTAAGTGAATAAATCATGATATATATTTAACACATACTGTCCAAATTCCAACGAAGCGGTCCTTGTCATAGCTATCACTCCAGCTTTTGACGCGCTGTAAATACTTTGTCCAACGTCTCTACGTGTAGCAGCAATCGAACTTATATTGATAATTGAAGAATTTTCAGTTGCATTTCCCTCTATCATCGCTTTAGCAGCAGTTTGCATGACTAGAAGAGTACCTTTTAAATTGATATTGATGACATCATCAAAGATATTGTCATCAACCTCGGTCAAAAAGTTTCTGCGATAGATGCCTGCCGAATTAACAATAATAGTAGGAGGCTTTGAAAATTGCTTCACGACATCTTTAAACGCAGTTTCGACACTGTTTCGATCCTCAACATTAATATGCAACGCAATATGTTCAACACCTGCAAACAAAAGCGTACATGATACAGAGTTCATTTTCAGATGCTTAGAATATTTTATATATAGCAAATGATTGATCATAAAATAGAATTAATGATTGAGAGAAATAAATATAATCTCAATAAACTATAACATTTCAATGTTAAGCATATGAAAATGAAACGTGTATCAAAAATTTCCTTTTTCTCCTTTCGGCATAAAAAAAATATATAATATATATAAACCTTCTAAAGAGGCAACAGTTTCCTGAGCAGTTTTAATATTTTGATCGGCTGCGACAACGGTTGCGCCTTCTCGAGCTAAAACTCGACATACTTCTCTTCCGATGCCGCTTCCAGCACCTGCAATAGAATCAAAGAAATAGCAGATAAGATTACGCGCTACTATGCATTTTAGTATTCTAATTTAACGTGTGTTTACCGAATAATGATTATTCTAGTCTAACGCATTCTTGCTGAGTAATAATTACTCGAACAAATTTTACTATTTATTTTTCCAGAATCAAAATAAAAATCCGCGATTAAACTAAATTAAATAAAGAAAGATCCACAAACCGGTAACAAGTGCCAGTTTTCCAGCTACAAGTATCGACATTTCAAAAAGACGTTTAATTTTAAACGGTGCAGCACAATTCGTCTAATCAGCGGACCTAACTAAACTATTGAAATCTGCGAACTTGTTACATAATGGTAGAGGAAGATGCGCTTGCTTATCGAAAGCCTTCTGATAAGATTTTGATAAACTATTACATATTGTACACTCGGCAACCAAAATGCCTTAACACCTGAATTTGCCCGTGTCAAGGCATATTCGGACGACGTACTTCCACTCTATTATAATTGCGCGTCATGACTATTTAATATCTGGCAACGATGTTTCAAAGTGATTTTACGCAAAATTCAAACTAATGTGTGACATATCTGAAAAAGTGGTTTGACATATGTCAAATATGTCAAAATGTATATGATTAGAAAATAAGTAATGCACATTAATTATATAAAATATTAAAATAAAATATATTAAATATATAAAAAATATAAAGTGTGATATGAATTACACATATTAAGTTTTTATATTTGAACAGCAGTCGCTCATCCTCAAATCTGCGACACACAATAAAAAACTGGCATTAATATGTGTAATTCATATCACGCTATATTTTTTATATATTTAATGTATTTTATTTTAATATTTTATATAATTAATGTGCATTACTTATTTTCTAATCATATACATTTTGACATATTTGACATATAACCACTTTTTCAGATATGTCACACATTAATTTGAATTTTGCATAAAATCGCTTTGAAACATCGTTGCCAGATATTAAATAGTCATGATGCGCAATTATAATAGGGTGGAAGTACGTCGTCCGAATATGCCTTAACACGGGCAAATTGTGTTAAGGCATTTTGGTTGCCGAGTGTACCACTGTATGAGTCGAGCAAATATCAAACAATTGGAAGTGTGTAAACAAGGCGGAAAATGAAAAATGATATATAGGAGCAGATTGGTTTAACGTGAAAGCATTTAAATAACGCCAGGTATGATCTTCGAGGATTATAAATGATATCCGCATTAAATCTCAAGCACTTCTACAAGAAGAATGACATGAAAACATTGCCGAAATACTTCTATATTAGCTAGGTTGTCGATTCTCCAATCGATTTCTACTTTTCGCATCTTACAAAGAAACGCAGAAAAACAATCGATGAAATTATGGCTGATGTAAAGTTCACAAAATACAATAAGCGTAAATATAAAAAGTTTATTGAAAAAAAGAAAAAGATGCATTATAAAGCAAGCAAAAAGTTTTAAGGAAAAAGAAAGTAATGACAATTATGTAAGACATTTTATGTGCTTAAAGGTTTGTGTAAAAATATTTACAAAATGTTTTATTTATATCTTCAATATTATAAAAATATAACACCAAAAATATATACATTAATATATAACAAAAATACCAAGATATAATAGCAAATATATATGCATATACCAATTTCCCTAAAAAATATATACTAATATGCAAGAAAATATATACTAATATGCAAAAAAATATATGTATATTAATATGTATGTTTAAAGACTGCTTTATATGAATTTTTTCCAAATTTCCGACAAAGTTCAGAATGGAATTTTATACAATTATATTTTTCTTTATATTGTAATATATAATTTCATGAAAAATATAAAGAAAACAATGAAAAAAACAAAAAATCGATATATACAAGATATATATCGAAATATAGAATATATAAAATGTAAAATTATAAATAATATTCTTAAATTTTGTCGCGAATTAAATTAATTACTATAAAAAAGTAAGCTTTTTACATATATATATATATATATATGTATAATTCTTCATCAATAGCCTATTTATATGGTACGCCTAATATAAATAAATAAGTAATGCATATGTATATACAGTATCGGCCAAAAATATATCACCTTTATGTTGTTTGAGAATAACTTAACTCAAAGTGAATAACTTAATTCAAAGTGTATATATTTCTGTTTAGTCACATATTTTAATAGTAGGTATAAATTACTTAACAATAGACTTTTCATTAAATAATGAACACAGCAACTTAAGAAAAATTAATTATTAAATGTATTTGAATTAATTTATCCTAAAAAGAAATAATATATTTTTGACCGGTACTGTATGAATAGTAAAACTTGATTCAATCCTAATTTAATCCTCCAGTAACTTCAATAGAGGCTCCATTTATGTAAGAACTTCTATCGGAAGCTAAAAACACGATAACTTCTGCTACTTCTTCTGGCTTTCCCTTTCTTTGTAATGGTATATTTTTTGTTATATTTTTTATAACCATTTCACCAGCTTCGTCAGATACATGTGAAATCATAGGAGTGCTTAGAAAACCAGGCAATACTGCGTTTACGCGAATTCCAAACCTGTAGAACAAACATAATACAATTACATGTTTTGGATATTAGCAAACTTTTTAAATAAATTAATCAAGATATATATCTAACACATACTGTCCAAACTCCAAGGAAGCGCTCTTTGTCATAGCTATCACTCCAGCTTTTGAGGCGCTGTAAATACTACGTCCAACGTATTTATGTTTAGCAAGAATAGAACTTATATTGATAATTGAAGAATTTTCAGTTGCATTTCCTTCTATCATCGCTTTAACGGCAGTTTGCATCACTAAAAAGGTACCTTTTAAATTGACATTAATGATATCCGCAAAATTACTGTCGTCGAATTTCGTCAAAAACATTTTTCGCGTGATGCCTGCCGAATTAACAATGATAGTAGGAGGCTTTGAAAATTGCTTCACGACATCTTTAAACGCAGTTTCGACACTGTTTCGATCCTCAACATTAATATGTATTGCAATATGTTCAGTACCTGGGAACAAAAGCATACATGATACAGAATTCATTTTCAGATGCTTACATTTGCTGTATAGGATATTAATGATCATAAAATAAAATTAATTATTGAGAGAAATAATTATAATCTTAATAAACTATAACATTTCAATGTTAAGCATATGAAAATGAAACGTGTATCAAAAATTTCCTTTTTCTCCTTTCGGCATAAAAAAAATATATAATATATATAAACCTTCTAAAGAGGCAACAGTTTCCTGAGCAGTTTTAATATTTTGATCGGCTGCGACAACGGTTGCACCTTCTCGAGATAAAACTCGACATATCTCTCTTCCGATGCCACCTCCCGCACCTGCAATAGAAACGCGAAAGAACAGATAGGATTACGCGCTACTTTGCATTTTAGTATTCTAATTTAACGCATTTTTATCGAGTAATGATTATTCTAGTCTAACGCATTTTTGCTAAGTAATAGTTACTCGAACAGATGTTATGTTGTTATTTATTTTTCCATAATCAAAATAAAAATCCGTGATTAAACTAAATTATATAAAAAAAAGATCCACGAACCGGTAACAAGTGCCAGTTTTCCAGCTACGAGTATCGACATTTCAAAACAAAGACTACGATTTAAACGGTGGAGCACAACTCGTCTCATCAGCAGACCTAACAGACACTGTGGAAATCTGCAATGAACTTGTATGGTAGGGGAAGATACGCTTGCTCATCGAAAAATTTTCTGATAGGAGTTTGATAAATTATTACACCTTGTATCACTGTATGAGTTGAGCAAAAATCAATTGGAAATGCGTAAACAACATAAAAAATGAAAAATGAATATATAGGAGCAGATTGGTTTAACGTGAGAGCATCTATCGTCATATATTAGGCATGATCTTCAAGGATTATGAATGAGATCCGCATTAAATCTTAAACACTTCTACAAAAAGAATGACATGAAAACATTTCCGAAACACTTCCATAATGATAAGGATATCGATTCTGCAATCGATTTCTTTTTTGCGCATCTTACAAAAAAGGAGCGTAAGAAAAGGATCGTAAGATCTTACAGAAAAGGAGCGTAAGAAAAGGATCGTAAGATCTTACAGAAAAGGAGCGTAAGAAAGGTTGAATTTACAGGTGATGCATAGTTCCCAAAATACAATAAGCATAAATATAAAGATTATTAAAGAGAAGAAAAAGACGCACTATAATAAGGCACACAACACGCAAAGAGACTTAGGAAAAAATAATTAATTTATCACAATTATGTAGAATATTTTACAGGCTTGAAATTTTTTTCTATTTACAAAATTTTTATTTATATCTTCAATATTGTAAAAATATAATATCATACACACACACACACACACACACGCATACACATACATAAATATATATATACATATCAAAAATTCCACAATATGATATCAATGTATATGCATACATTTCTCTAAAAAATATATATTAATATGAAAAAAATATTAATATCTCTGTTTAAACTGCTTTAGATGAATTCTTTCCGAATTCGCGACAAAATTCAGAATGGAATTTTATACAATTATTTTTTAATTTATTTTCTAATATATAATTTCATGAAAAATATAAAAAAACAATGAAAAAAAATATATACAATATAATTTCGATATATACAAAACATATATATATATATATATATATATATATATATATATATAAAACGATATATAAAATATATTCTATAATTTCGATATATACAAAATATATATCAAAATATAGAATATGTAAAATGTAAAATTATAAATATTCTTAATAAATTCTTAATAAATGTAAAATTATAAATATTCTTTATAAATATTCTTGTCGCGAATTAAATTGATTACTATAAAAAATAAGCTTTTAAGAATTGTTACACATTGTACTATTATGTGAGTTGGTCAAATATCAATTGGAAACAACGCGAAAAATGTAAGATGGATACATATAAGAGCAGATTGGTTTAATGAGAGAGCACCTAAATAACGCCAGATAGGCATGATCTTGAAGGATTATAAATGGGATCCGCATTAAATCTCAAGCATTTCTACAAGAAGAATGACATGAAAACATTACCGAAGCACTTCCATATTGATAAGGTTGTCGATTCTCCAATTGATTTCTATTTTTCGCGTTTTATAAAAAAGAAGCGCAAAAAAACGATCGATAAAATTATGGCTGATATAGAGTTTACAAAATACAATAAACGGGAATATAAAGAGTTTATTGAAAAAAGAAATAAATGCATTATAAAGCAAGCAAAAAGTTTAAAAAAAAAGTAAGTAATGACAATTATGTAAGACACTTTATGTGCTTAAAGTTAGTGTAAAAATATTTATAAAATGTTTTATTTATATCTTTAATATTATAAAAATATAATACCAAAAATATATACATACACCAATATATAACAAAAATATCAAGATATAATAGCAAATATATATGCATACACCAATTTCCCTACAAATATATATTAATATGAAAAAAAATATTAATATCTATGTTTAAAGATTGCTTTAGATTTAAATGAATTCGTTCCAAATTCGCGACAAAAATCAGAATGAAATTTTATACAATTATTTTCTTCTTTATATTATTAAATATAATAACATGAAAACTATAGAAAAAACAATGAAAAAATAAAATATCGATATACATATCCAAAATATATATCGAAATAAAGAATATGCAAAATGTCAATTTATAAATAAAATTCTTAAATTTTGTCGCGATTTAAATAGATTACTATAGCAAGCTTTTATAATACAGCAAACTTTTTACTTATATATGTATAATTCTTGATCAATAATCTATTTACATGGTACGCCTAATGTATATATATATATATATATATATATATATATATATATATATATGAATAGTAAAACTAATTCAATCCTAATTCAATCCTCCAGTAACTTCAATAGAGGCTCCATTTATATAAGAACTTTTATCAGAAGCTAAAAACACGATAACCTCTGCTACTTCTTCTGGTTTTCCCCATCTTTGTAATGATATATATTTTATAAGCGTTTCCTTAATTTTGTCAGATACATGTGCACTCATAGGAGTTTCTATAAAACCAGACAATACTGTGTTTATCCGAATTCCATACCTGTAACACATACATATTACAGTTACACGATTTCCATATTAGCAAAATTTTTAAGTAAATAAATCATGATATATATTTAACACATACTGTCCAAATTCCAACGAAGCGTTCTTTGTCATAGCTATCACTCCAGCTTTTGACGCACTGTAAATACTTTGTCCAACGTCTCTACGTGTAGCAGCAATCGAACTTATATTGATAATTGAAGAATTTTCAGTTGCATTTCCCTCTATCATCGCTTTAGTAGCAATTTGCATGACTAGAAGAGTACCTTTTAAATTGATATTGATGACATCATCAAAGATATTGTCATCAACCTCGGTCAAAAAGTTTCTGCGATAGATGCCTGCCGAATTAACAATAATAGTAGGAGGCTTTGAAAATTGCTTCACGACATCTTTAAACGCAGTTTCGACACTGTTTCGATCCTCAACATTAATATGCAATGCAATATGTTCAGCACCTGCAAACAAAAGCATACATAATACAGTGTTTATTTTCAGATGCTTACAACATTTTCTATATAGCAAATAATTGATCATAAAATAAAATTAATTATTGAGAGAAATAAATATAATCTCAATAAACTATAAAATTTCAATGTTAAGCATATGAAAATGAACTCTATATCAGTTTCAAAAATATATAATATATATATATATATATATATATATATATATATATATATATATAAACCTTCTAAGGAGGCAATAGTTTCCTGAGCAGTTTTGATATTCTGGTCGGCTGCGACAACGTTTGCGCCTTCACGAGCCAAAACTCGACATACTTCTCTTCCAATGCCGCTTCCAGCACCTACAACGGAATCGAGGAAGAACTGATAAGATTACGCGTTACTTAGACATTTTAATAATCTAATCTAACACATTTTTGCTGAATAACGATTCCTCTGAACAAATTTTGTTATTTATTTCTTCGGAATGAATATCTGATTAAATTAAATTAAATAAAAAAATATCCACGAACCGGTAACAAATGCCAGTTTTCCAGCTACGAGTATCATTTCGAAATAAAGACTACAAATTTAAATCGGAGCACAACTCGTCTCACCAGCGGGCCTAATCGAAACTGTTTAAACCTGCGATAAATTTGTTCTATTATAGAGGAAAATACGCTTGCTTATCGAAAGATTTCTGATAAAATTTAAAAAATCAGACTTAAAAAATCATTATCATTCTAGATTTCAAAAAATTGTTTCACATTGTACCACTGTTGGTCAAGTATCAATTGAAAGTATTACGTAAACAACGCAAAAATGAAAGATGTATATATAGGAGCAGATTGGTTGCACGTGAGAGCACCTAAATAACGCCAGATATTAGGCATAATCTTGAAGAATTATGAATGAAATCCGAATTAAATTTCACAAACACTTCTACAAGAAGAATGACATGAAAACATTTCCAAAACATTCCATATTGATAAGGTTGTCGATTCTCGAATCGATTTCTACTTTTCGCATCTTACAAAGGAATGCAGAAAAACGATCGTTGATGAAATTATGGCTCATGCAGAGTTCACAAAATACAATAAGCCTAAATATAAAGAGATTTAAGAGAAGAAAAAGTGCATTATAAGGCACACAACATGTAAAAAAACTTAAAGGAAAAAGAAAGTAATTTATCACAAGAATGTATAGAATATTTTACATACTGGAAAAATTTTTATAAAATTTTTTTTATTTATACCTTACCTCAATATTGTAAAAATATATCATATACATATATATACAGCAATATAATAATACCGAAAGAATCAAAATAGCAAATATATGCATATTTCAATTTCTGTAAAATATATATTAACATGAGAAATATATATTAATATTTATGTTTGAAGTTTACTTTATTGTATTATCTTTCGGAATTCGCAACAAAATTTAGAATGAAATTCTGTTATGATTATATATATATTGTAATACATAAATTTCATAATATTAAAAACAAAGAAATAAAATATCGATATAAAATATTGAAATATGCAGAATATGCAGAATGTAAAATTATGAGTAAAATATTTAAATTTTCTCGTAAATTAAATAGATTACTATAAAAAAAATAAGTTTTACATACACATGTACATATATATATGTACAATACTCAGTTAAAAACTTATTTATATAGTACACCTGATGTATAATAAAACTTAATTCAGTCCTCCACTAATTTCAATAGAGGCTCCATTTATGTAAGAACTTCTATCAGAAGCTAAAAATACGATAACCTCTGCTACTTCTTCTGGCTTTCCTATTCTTTGTAACGGTATGTTTTTTATAAACATTTCCTTAGTTTTGGCAGATACAGTTGCAGCCATAGGAGTGTCTATAAAACCAGGCAATACTGTGTTTACCCGAATTCCAAACCTGTAGAACATACATAATATAGTTACATGTTAGCAAACTTTCTAAATAAATTGATCAAGATATATATCTAATACATACTGTCCAAACTCCAAGGAAGCGCTCTTTGTCATAGCTATCACTCCAGCTTTTGATGCACTGTGGATACTTACTTCAGCATATCCATTTATAGCAGCAATCGAACTTATATTGATAATTGAAGAATTTTTGGTTGCGTTTCCCTCTATCATCGCTTTAACAGCAGTTTGCATGACTAGAAAGGTACCTTTTAAATTGATATTGATGATATCATCAAAGGTATTGTCATCAACTTCCATCAAAAAGTTTTTCCGATAGATGCCTGCTGAATTAACAATAATGGTAGGTGGCTTTGAAAAATGCTTTACAACATCTTTAAATGTAGTTTCGACACTGTTTCGATCCTCAACATTAATATGTAATCCAATATGTTCAACACCTGCAAAAAAAGTGTGGTATATAACAAATCAAATAGTCAAAATATTATAATATTGAGTGAATAAAGTAATAAATATAATTATAATAAATTATATTATAAGCATATGAAAATGCACTCTATCAAAATTTCAGAAGTTCTCTTTTTTTTCTCTTTTAACTTAAGGATATATATATATATGAACCTTCTAAAGTGCCAACAGTTTCCTGAACATTTGTGATATTCCGACCGGTCGCGACAACGATTGCGCCTTCGCGAGCCAAAACTCGACATACCTCTCTTCCAATTCCGCTTCCAGCACCTGCAGAATCGTGAAAGAGCAGGTAAGATCACGCTCTACTTTACATTTTTCTAGTATTCTAGTCTAACGCATTTTTGCAGAGTAATGATTATTCGGATAAATTTTGCTACTTATTGCTCCAGAATCAAAATAAAAATCCGATTAGACTAAATTAAATAAAAAAAGATTCACGAACCGGTAACAAGTGCCAGTTTTCCATCTACGAGTCTCGACATATTTCGGGAAAGAAAAAAAAAATATTACGTCTTCGGAAACGATCGAAACACAATTCGTCTTATCAGCGAGCCTACGCGACACTGCTGAAATTTGCGATGAGCTCGTTCCATCGTAGAACAAGACGCGTTCACTTATCTTATCATCGAAAGATTTTTGATCGACTCGAAAATAAACTTTCTCGATGACTCGGGCATGTTCCAGTCACCGATCGCGAATAACGTAAGCACGCCCGGCCAATGAGGATCGACTTTCCGTTGCCATGACAACGATGCCATATGCCGCTGACGTCAAAGCGTACCCGCAGTGACGTCAGAGAACGCGCCACGTAAGTGATCGTGTTTATGGAAAAATTGAACTTGAATTATCGGCGTTTGCGATGCACGCGTCGTCGGATACGGGTCGGATGGACGATGACGATGGACGATCGCTCACTCGTCACTCGTGTTCGCCCGTGTCGCTTGACAGAAGCAGCCGGCTGGTGACCGGCTCGTGAAACTCGAATTTAAACGCGTCGGGCCGCAATTTAAAAATTCCCCTTTTTTTTCGCAAATTTTAAAAACACTCGCCTAAATATCATCTCGACGAGAGCGTCGTAAATTGATAGATTCGCGAAAGCTATGCATCTTCAATGCGCGTTTCTACCGAAGGATTTTCCCAAGGGTCTCGCACGTACATAGAAAAGCGTACATGCGAACGGAGCTTGATATCGTCGGGCCGAATGGACGATCGACAATTGACATTCGCGGGACGCGCGACGCGAAATTGACGCCGGGGACGATTATCTCGCGCTATCTCGGTTCGAACATTTCGAGCGACCGGCACGCGCGCGGCCTCGTCCAAATCCGGCGCGACGAGCGGGGCGTTGGAGGGGCGAGGGAGGGACGTCGTATCCGTAGACGACGCTGGCAGCACCGGCAGGCGCGCCGCGCGCCTCCTCGCAGCCCTCGCTCGCGCTAGTCTGCCAGTTTTGCGTCGAGACGGCTCGGGGCCGCGTCGTGTTCGAGGACGGATCGCAGAACTGATTCGAGTGCGCGAGAACGCCGTCGAGGACGGCTGGTCGGCCCATCGAGTGGCAGCGAGGGAGAAGAGGCGAAGAGGTCGCGACACGCCGGTGACAAGTGCCGGGAGCCAGGCAGCAGGGACAACGCGGCATGCCGTGTACTCGCGGCGCGTCATCATCGCGGCGGTTCGACTCCACCACCCGCGCGAGCAGCCTCGAGGAACGCGATAGAGAAGGCTGGACGACGCCGACGCTGCTGCTGCGTGTTCGGTCAACGGCGGCGTGGTGAAAAGCGAGACAAAGAGTGCAGGTGCGAGAGAGAGAAGGATAGAGCGAAAGCGAGAGAGAGAGAGAGAGGTGAGAGTTGACGAGAGATCGACGCAGCGCGCTCTCTCTCGCGGGCGAGCGCCCCGCTCGCCGCTTCTCAGCTACGGGTAGTGCGTACCGAGCTACCGAGGTGTTTCGAAGCGCGGCAGCGGCGGCCCAGGATGCTGCCCGACGTAGCAAGAAGATGGCCGTGATCGGCGAACGCAGGTATCACGCGGCGGTCCGTGCGAGCGCGTACACGGAGTTGTTCTCGTGCCACAGGGTCGAGAGTCAGGCCGAGGCAGCGGTAACGTCGCCGTTGCCGTCCCCCTCGTCCTCGTCGTCGTCGTCGTCGTCGTCCTCGGCGCTGGCGCGCCGTCGACGGCACAGGAAGAAAGGCGCAGCGGGCCACTCGCCGCCGCCGCCGCCGTCGCCGTCGCCGCTGCCCCCGCCCCCGCCGCCGCCTCCGCCGCACCAGCAGCTCGCGATGACGTCCTCGCGCGGAAGCGGCCTAGAGTCCGGCGAGTTCAGCGATCCCGACGACGATTACCTGGACACGGATCCGCTCCGGTACGAGCTGCGCAACATACAGAGCATCATTCATGTCACGCGGCAGAATATCGATACTCTGAACAATCGCTTCGCCGGCTTGCAGCATCCGCCTTCGATTTATCTGAACGAGTACCAGGAGCTGACGAGCAAGTTGCACAAGCTCGAGTCTGAGGAGCAGAAACTTAACGAGCTGCTGAATGCCAGGAGAATCCCCAGTAGCGTTTCCATATCGGAAAGTGACAACAGTGCGGCCAGGGGCCCGAGAACGCCGGTAAAATCCTTTAATACTCTGAGAGCGTACCTACCTAATCAGCAACGTACCAGTGTGCAAGTGCGAGAGGGGCTCTCCTTGAGGGATGCGCTGGCCAAAGCGATGAAGCTTCGAAATCTCACTACTGAGATGTGCGCGGTCTATGTCATGGGCATGGATAGCTCCAAGTACTTGATAGGTTGGAACGTGGACATCTCGTCGTTGGAATGCGACGAGATATTGGTGGAGATTTTGGATAAGTTTCCCATAACCACTTCCATTTCGCACAATTTTGTGCGTAAGACATTTTTCTCCCTAGCTTTTTGCGAATGCTGCAGGAAGCTGCTCTTTCAAGGATTTTATTGCAGAACATGTAATTACAGATTTCATCAGAGATGCGCGGGTGGAGTGCCTGCCCTGTGTCATCAGGTACGCATGCAGGATGCTTACTATCAAGCGTTACTCGCGCATAATCCAGAGACCACCGCTGGAATCTTGCAACTTCCCTCTGGTTACGGATTGAGTAGAAGTATGTCTCCCTCTTTGGCTCCGTCGAGAAATCAGAGGCATCCACGTTCCTTGGGTCAGCAAGACCGCTCTAGCTCGGCACCTAACGTCTGCTTCAATATGGTAAAACCAGGTGGTGAACCTATTAACCTAGATGAATATAGCAGATCTCAAAGTTTAAGCAGACCTGTCGGTACTACTCAAAGTCCTGTGTCACCTGGCAGCAGTCCAACGAAGCATAGTCAGTCCACGCAGGCTAGTCCCACGAGTACTTTAAGGCCAAAACGACCAAGAGCAAAATCAGCTGATGAATCTTCGAAGAATCTCTTAGCGCCAAGGGAGTCTATCGAAGATTGGGAAATTCCAGCGGAGGAGATTCTAGTAGGACCACGTATCGGATCAGGATCATTTGGAACTGTATACAAGGCTCATTGGCATGGACCTGTCGCAGTGAAAACACTCAATGTTAAAATTCCTACGTCTGCACAGTTACAAGCATTCAAAAATGAAGTGGCTGTTTTACGTAAAACTCGACATGTGAATATCTTGCTGTTTATGGGCTGTGTCAGTAAACCACAGCTTGCGATTGTTACACAGTGGTGCGAAGGCTCATCTCTGTATAAACACTTGCACGTATTTGAGTCCAAGTTTGAACTGTTGACATTGATAGAGATTGGGAGGCAAACTGCGCAAGGCATGGACTATTTGCACGCAAAGAACATTATTCATCGAGACTTGAAGAGCAACAATATATTTCTACACGACGATCTCACTGTTAAAATCGGTGATTTTGGTCTGGCAACGGCAAAAACTCGATGGTCTGGTTCTCAACAGTTTCACCAGCCGACTGGCTCCATTCTGTGGATGGCACCGGAGGTGATCAGAATGCAAGAAGAAAATCCGTATAGTTTTCAGTCTGACGTTTATGCGTTTGGTGTAGTGTTGTTCGAGTTACTAGCTGGTCAATTACCATACTCGCATATAAACAACAAAGATCAGATATTGTTTATGGTAGGACGTGGCTATTTGCGTCCCGACTTAGATAAATTGCGCTCTGATACGCCGAAAGCACTCAAGAGATTGACGGAGGACTGTATTAAATTTTCGCGAGATGAGCGGCCAATATTTCGTCAAATCCTGGTCAGTTTAGAGGGTCTTCTACGTGGTTTACCGAAAATAACAAGATCGGCTTCCGAACCAAATCTCAACAGAACGCAGCTGCAGTCCGATGATTTTCTTTACACCTGTGCTTCACCAAAAACTCCGGTGAACTTTCAATTTGGAGCATTTCCCTTTTACCCTTCTGGTGGGAATATATAAATGTATCGGCTGACACGCATTATAAGTCTGATGCACTTTGCATAAAGGAAATATTTAAAATATTGAGCATAACGAGATATAAGCTTAATTCTATGAACAAATTACATAATTCTTTCACACTTTACTTTTATTGTATTGCAAATGTTTGCTCGATGTGGAATGTGATAACATTCTCTTTGATATAAGACAAAGGTCAGGAAAAATAGGCTCTATATATATATATTATATATATATTATATATATATATATTAATAATATATATATATATATATTATATATATATTAATAATATATATTTATATATAATATATATATATAAAAGGAAGAAAAAAAGAGAACGCATGTGTAGCTTTTATCTTTAGACATTTACCGTTTACAGAAATAAATTTTCATTTCATTAGGTACGATCATTCATGTATTATAAATACATACTCGCATACACATACAGCAGTGTACATATATACATACAAATTTGATATATATATATATATATATATATATATATACACATATATATTATACGTGCATGCACGTCAATGTAGCGATCTGTTGATTTTGTGCGATCCTTATGAAGGATGTAAAACTAAATTAAATCATAAGAGTAAAACGGCAGTTAAGTCGTGCGGGCCGTCGCTTATCTGTGAGATAATTTTCCAAAGGCCGAAGTGATTTTGTACTACTTCCTTGATTTTGTCTCGAGTATGCTCATACAAACACATGCAAACATATTTCACACATAGTCTCATTCATGATTATTATATTATGCATATATCATCATCGGTGCAGGTTGCTTTGTATTATATATAAATATATATATATATATATATATATATATATATATATAATATATATATTAAAACAACGTGTAGATTTCCATTTAAAAAAAAAGTTATATTTATAACTTTAAAAGTAACATATACACGCGTACATACACTCACACATATATTCATTAATGAAATATAAATACTTTAAATAAGCCTGCTAAAAATTAGGGATATTGATTAAAAATGAACACAGGTTCTTCAACACATGCTTATATCTTATTTGACAAATCGTTTCTGAGGATTCTCTTAATTCATCTTACGATTAAACGTTTTAAGTAATTTTAAAAATATGCACACAGACAGAATGCTAATTTTATATATGTATATTTCTCTTGTTTTCACAAGAAAAACTTGAAAAATATTATTTTACACGTTTTTAAAAATCTACTAATTCGCTTGTAATTCATTTGTCTGATGTATTTGTTTTTTAAAATTTAACGAGAGGAAGATATATATCTACATTTGATAAACATCTTATATTTCAGAAAAAGCTGATCTGTAGTTAACAGAAATGAAATATAAAGTTAAATAATCTGTTTAATAAAAAAAACATAAGCATTATAAGCCTCAAAATAGATGAATGGGAGGGGAAAAAATTTTTCGAGAGATTTTTGACCTACTTGTTCTTTCATTTCATAAAATGTATAGTACATATCTATTGTCCATACAAGCAGAGTATAGTTGAACTGAAAATGCTAGTACAACAGCTAGTTTTTCAGTCGACGTCCTCTTCTGTAAAATATTTCCGAACATGAGTACAGAGATATATGATGACATCGTGGCCTAAAAGACAGGTGTATAATCGATGCTGATAACACAAGTGTAATAGGATACATGTATTAAAATTTAATAAGAAGGCGATTAATCGTATGCGCTTCGAAAAATTCTTTTATGGAACTTTTACCATAGACTTTGCTTCTCTTAACTTTCTAACTCGAATATCTCGCGCGCGCGCGCACACACAAGTAAATTTAAGTTTTACAGTAAATTATTCGAATACGAGAGAAAGAGAGTGGCAATCTGATAATTCATATGGGCAATTACATGGGCTTTCATATTACGATTTACGTTTAATTGACATTAAATAGTATCTTAGAATATACGTGCTTTTTCCTACAAATATACAATCTTCCGAGGCTATCGTGATGCAGGAAGTAGCGCGAATTTCACTTCGAATTTTAATCCAAGGTACAATGTAATCTTTAGTTAGCGTCGGAGAATTCAATTTTGTAATATCGTATATCGTTTTAAATCTTTATCAAACGTGCGTCATGAACAGTAAATGCGCGGAAGAAAAATGCATTACCACGAATACTCTCTTATGTTAGAATGCGATATATTTTATTCAACATATATTTAATTAAATTCAACGTATATTTAATTTATATTTAATTAGTTGTATGCGATGGAACGTATATCACTGAAAAATCTATAGATGTTCATAAAATAACATATCTATATCTCGCTCTATTGATATGTACATAATACTTTAACTTTGCATGTCTCGTAGAAGTCGAGGACATGTTTCAGACATTGAGACCAAATTGATTTATTATATAAACGAATAATTCCCTAAAAGCATGATACATATATATATATATATATATATATATAATATATATATAATATATAATGCTTTTAGGGAATTATTCGTTTATATAATAAATCAATTTTGTCTCAATGTCTGAAGCATGTCCTCGACTATATATATATATATATATATCGAGAGAGAGAGAAAAGAAATGTATGTATATTTTATATTTGATAATGCCAAGAGACATGTGTGATATATATGAAATAAAATATTATCATATATTATCATTTTTATAAACAGTAATTATTACTACTTCTTATTACATAATAATATTTTTAAAAGTGTTTATATGTTACTTTGTGCATTTAATCATATGTGTTTGTCTTGAGAGTTTTTGTCGTATGCATCTTCCTTCTTGCGCACAAGCGTACAAGGCCTAAGAGAACGAACCTTCGAAATTAAATTGTAATTAGAGCGTTTGAATTTTTTCAAACCCTTTATTCCCATGACACGCCCCGATTTGTTATTTATTTATTTATAAATAATTCACATCGCGGCGACTTACGCGACCGTAGACAAGTGCCGAATTCAAAAGCGTGAGAGGAATTTATTGCGAGTGAAAGAGAGAAGGAAGGAAGGATAACGAGGAAAGGGATGTGAAGGGAGAATGCGTGCTTAAATATACGGAACGTCGATATATAATAAACGAAGCGAGCCAGAGACTACTGAAATTATATATCGTGAACGCATAATGTAAATTAAAGCAGAGCTTACATCGTTGATAACGCTTTCCCATAACGGGAGAAAACGCGATGGACTGTGGCAATTAATGATAGGCGAAATCTATTTGAAGGATTAAAAGGAGGAGGAAGACGTGTGTGAGGAAACCGACTTGTGTCTTCCGTTGAAAATTTTGATTGATCTCAGATTAATAAGAAACATAAATCTTCCGCTTTTAAATCTCGGAACGAAAGAGAGAGTTATTTAACTAATAGTGCACCTTTATAGTTTATACGTTGCATTACGATATAAATCGTGCGTTTTCAAACAACAAATTTTATTTCGCTAAAGCTTGGTCGTCTTCCTCCGCCTTTGAAGATTTTACGTGCGCATTTTACTGTTAAATTTTATAGTATCGCACTTTTTTTATCGGGATACGCTGCTCCACATCCTCGCTTCGACATGTATGTATACGAAGAATTCGTACACAGAGAAAAATGTATATTGTATTTAAGTAAATATTATTTATTTTAAGTATATCATAAGTTTGTATATTCGTAAATATAGTCACAAGCATTAAATTTAATTGAATATATTCTGAATTTTAATAAGTATTTTAGTCAAAAATATTAAATTAAAATCAAAATTTATTTACTACAAAGAGTTGATGTAAAGTAAGTTTGATTTTTCTTTAATACAACTTTACAATATTTTTCAAGAGAAAATTAATTCTTCCTTTGAGTATATACGCTGATAGATTTCCTAACATTTGTGATGAATATTTTAAGACTATTATCAAGAATATATTCTTTGTTGGAGAAAACTATTACTTAAAAAAAGAACAATAAACTGAGTAATCGCTTTTCTTGGTAGCAGAATGATATTTTTTTCTCTGGGTACGAGAATACGATATCGAAACACATTTCTTTCTCATTGAAAAAGCACAGACAAACTGGGAAAGCAGATCCAACGTATTGCGGTTGCTTGCACGCCTTTCGAATACAAACGACATCGTATCGAGGACATTGCTTCTTTGTTTAAGTCGCGATCGTAGAATAAAACTTGGTTCTTTGCGAGAGGAGGGAATAGTCAGGATCGAAATTTAAGCGAATGTTAAGCGATCGTAGATCGTAGATCTCGAGTCTCGATACGATCTGCGAATCTGCTTTCCTCCGAGTTCGCCATCGGTTTTCGAATTTGACGTATACTGAATGGAATGAAATTTTTCGCAACACGTCCCGTCACGTACGTGATGTGATAGAGGACTTTGGCTTCCTTTCGCTAAGTTGTAACGATAATCTGTGTTAACTGACATGAGTTAGCGACATATTCGCGCTGTTCCTTTTTAGATTATAATTCTCTGCCTATGATATAGACAGAGTTAAGAGATTCAGTTAACCGGACCTGGCGCTAACCGACATTAATAAAACCGGCTCCAAGTTGGACTACATAGTTTGGATCAAGTGACTCTGATATAGAGAATGATTCACGCGATATAGTGAGAAAAAGATAGAAATTGAATGGAATTACGTTCTCTATGATTCGATTTAAATCTTATAAATCTTGAAAAGCCAGTGAAAACAATTCAAATCGAATGATTCATCTTTTTAAATATATCAGATTCTCACACGACTAAGGATCAATTTTAGAATTTACCTCAACAGAATTAATTTTTTTTTCTTTAATTTGAGAAATTAAATTTTTTAGTTAAATAAAATTTTTTTTAAATTTTTCAAATTCGCTGTATCATATTAACGATATAGTTAAAATAATTTCTTTTCTTACGAGGAGGGATAAAAGGAGCGAGACAAATTGCGGAAACCACTATCTTTGAAGCATCTGGAAGTGCCAATTTCGCGCAGAATAAATTCCTTATTAATTCTTTCGACGCGTATTCTTACAAGAGAACGCGGTGTGCGCGGTGTTCTTCCTCTTAGAACACACTTCCGTCTGAGGATATATACACGACACGAGAAGAAAAAAAAATATTTAGCCGAGGTTTCAGCACGCTATATATTATACAGGCGAGTGAATGCGTTTTTGAAAACACGCCGTGACAGATTCCTCGATCGCGCGCGACTCGGATACTCGATCATAATCATCTCTCGAGAGATCGATCGCACTATCCAATCGAAAGAGAGACGAAAAAATATATATATATATACACATACACACAACTACAAGAAAAGGACAAAAAATAAATTTACTTTATCTTCGCGTATGACGCATGCGAAGTTTATTTCTCCACAATGACTTCTCCCCGATCCTTTCCCGCCTCGCATCGTTCGCTGAATGGTAATTGAATGATTGAACAGATTCTCGCGCACGAAATATATCTCTCTCTTTCTATCTATACGCACTTCAATTTGTAAATTAAGAGAAGCAGGAAAAGAGAGAGAGAGATGGGTTTATCGCATCGCCAAGTTGTTTTTCATGACTAATCGAAGACGCGGGAGCACTTTTCGTTTCTCCCTCTTCGAAGATAAAGGGACGTATCAGTTCGCGATTTTGCTGTTTTGTCTAATTTCGATTAATTAATCTAATGGGAGACGTGCGAATTCTGGGAATCTCGTTTCGTGACAGATAATCGTTCATCGCGAAGGGCAAGCGAGACGCGATTTCACGCGACAAGAATCCGCGGTTGAAATTGCGGGCGTGAAATGTGTCTTCTGGCAAATTGTTGCTTATTTCCCACGTGTGTCGACTTTAATCATCGCCCGTCCTCAGGCATGTCGCAATCAAGAAAGATAAATTGCGCATCAAAACATGATTTTTTTTTCTTTCTCCCTTCTACATCCCCCTGCCCAGTTAAATATCGGATGTTTGATTCCCATTTTACATCGAATGTTATCTTATTTTAATTTTTTCTGTGTGATTCTAGTGTTAAGTTAAATCTCTATCGTCTTATAAGTTGGCGAAACGCCGCGTATTCGACTCGCTTTTATGTAAAATATATCTTGTTATTCAATGACAATCACGATTTAAAATCGTATTTTTCTCGGTTAAGTTTTGCTGCTGCTCTAGAGAAGAGAAGCTAAAAGAAAATTTTTTGTATAATTCTAAAAAAATAAACTCGTAATTCTTTTAAGGTAGCTTTTGAAGAAGAGCAATATTCCTTAGAAACGAGATATCTTGTTACATGTACTAATTACTTCTCCGATAATTGAATTTTCAGAGACATTTTGTTCCCGAGAAATTTACTCGTGGAAAAGGAAGAGGAAAAAAATTCAAAAATTCAATATTTGCATTTTAGCAGGATGAAAATTGTATTCGGAATTTGTGTGATCACTGTCTAAATGTGACGTTGAATCTTCATCATACCTTATTTCGAGATTGTCTTCAATATATATACATATATATGTATATTATCGTAGAGAGACTGAATGTATATATCTACGATTTACAAATTTAGCGCTAAATGTGCGACGTAAACGAGGTCCACGAGGTATTATACATGTGCGCGTTTGTCGTTGAAAGTCCTATAATGCAAAATATACGTTGCACGATCCTTCGGCATCTCGACTGACGGAAGTGAATCAATAATCCAATACAAGAACGTGAACGTATTAATAGTCTGCGTAATATATAAAAGGCTAGTGTTTACGCGTTTCTAAGAAATTACGTCCTGCACGGACATAGTATGTGTGAACTATCGCACGTCATCGATAATTCTGGATAAATCATTGAATACTTAATTGATCCTTTCACGTGCGCATATAATGGACTGTTGTCATTGTGTACGATCCATTTGCTGTTTAATTGTCTATGTCAAAATAGAAAAGTACAATGACATATTTTGATCTGTATATATCATTTTAATTTTCATATGAAATATAATTAATCAAATATAATTAAAAGTAGACATCAGTTGTATTTAATGAAAATACTTAATTGACTATGTTAACAACTTAATTTGACTAACTTTATTTGAGTTTTGATATATATTCGACGTTCATTTTTTTGTTCTTTTTAGTATTTTAACATATTTTTTTTTCTTAATGTTATTAGTAATTGAAAGAATATATTTTTTATTATTAGATTATTTTTATTATTAGATTATTAGATATTTTATTATTAGAAATTACTTCCAGATAAAAGGAATTTTAAAATCGTTTTAATTAAATTTTTATTAAATAAAATGAATGAAACTATTATTACTGTTTAATTTTATAATAATTGTTTTGCGAATATTTTTGTGAATATTGTGCTAATTTAGAAGAATATTTTTAAATGCAAAAATATACTTTGATATACAAGACGCTAATTATCTTTCGTAGTAGATACCTACGATATCATTTTGAACATTCAATCGGTAATAAAGTTATGCTGCAAAATTCTCAGATATGTTTATAGATGGCGCTTTAGAACGTTTTGAAACGATGTATTTTTCATTTTAAATTCAAATTAATCTCGCACAAATAGAAAAGCATGCACGTATAATATTGATTTAAATAGAACATTATTATCGAGAAATATGTATCGCAACTGATCAAGTATTAAAATATATTCCTTCAAATTTGTTTATCAATCTTTAATCTCTATCTAAATATTGCAACATCAAAAATAGATTCACTCACTATGTTGTTTATTTTATTTCATGAAGTATCGATAGATGTTCATAGTGCGATTTGTACCTTGAATTTGTCGCTGGATATAAATAATCACAGTCACATGATTTCGTCGATCAGATAATAACATACATACAATGGTTTTCAAATTGTACTACGTGGGAAAGCTCGAAGCTTCAAATTGTCAGAAACTTGTAAGCACAAAATCGCTTTATTGATCGGAACAAATTATGATGAAAATTGAAGCGTATGCTTTTCTATCTAGACTATTTTGTAAACTGCGCATGAAGTTGATTAAGATATAAAATCGATACGTTATTAGAGCGAAAAATTTAATTCACGTATGAGTAAGTTGCTCAAATCAAATGTGCATTTCTATTATTACATTATATTACAGTCTTTCTTGAACATCATGACTTAATAGGCGTGTTAATACATGTATATTACATAATATACAAGCATGCACAATGTGTGTATATATATGTATAATATTCAGTTGCACGCGATGTTTCCGGAAATCAGGCCCGCAGGAATATCAAATCAAGTTTATACGCAGGAAGGAATATGTAAAAGGAGTAAAATAATTTTCTTCGTACTGTAAGATAAGAGAGAAAGAGACATTCGTGTGTTTAAAGGAGAAATATTTATACGTATAAAAAGCCTCAAGCGACTCCTTTCAGATAACTATTTCAAGCTCTTTTTGAACGTTCTTTTCATTTAAAATATTTAAACAGTAAATACAAGAAATATATAATAGCGAATATATTCCAAAATTGTTCCCAAAAAAATAAAAACGAAACATATTATTATTATTTTACATGTTAATTAAGTTTCTTGATTTGCAAATTTAAAACTTGTTTATTTAAAGCAATTACGGTAAATTAAAACGCTTCATGCATTTTGCAATGTTTTGCAAAACAATCGTTTTTGAACGAAAATATTTAATTTGAAATTGTATTTATAATTTCTCTTTATAAATTACATTTATTTGACAGAACATCGCAATCGCACGCATCGTATATTTCGCAAGAACAAATTCTTATTTTCGACAAGAAAAAGTGTTTAACGGCCCTGGGATCAACCCCGTGTCGAATGTTTATACTGGGTGTGCGGCGCAGACAGCACGACGCAACGCGCATGCGCGGCTTCAGCTGGCGTCTCAGCCGGTCTGACGGCAGTCGATGTCGGAGCCTCGGGAAGGTGGGATCGTTTCGCGTGCTCGCCGCCCTTTCACACCCCGTCATCGTGTTCATTTGTCGCACGCGTACACGCATGTGAAGAACTGTTGTGCAGCTATCACAAGTGAGATTATCCACAAGTGGGAGCGACGATAAACAGCGAGCGTCAGTCCGGAGGTAAGGTTAGTTCAATTACTTGAAGTAAGAAAATTCGGCGCGGATGACGACTGACGACGCGATAGTATCGGTTCGTTGATTCTCTTTCTCTTTCTCTCTTTCTCCTTGTCTGTCTTTCTCTTTCGTTCTCGAGGGGAACGACATCGCGCGCGCTCGATGATATCGCTATCGCGAGCGTAGCCGGTGAACCGCCTGCCTTCCTCTCCTCTCCCTTGCGGTTGACCGAAATATCCAGGCTCGATAGCCCCTACGGGAACTCGCGACGAAATCTCGAGTGTCCGCCGTTACCTTATTAAGCGGTGTTAATATGCTTGAAAAGTCGTTTGTAGTCGAGAATGACGGAATTGGATATCGGAACAGAAGGCCCGACAATGACAGATTGCTCGTTTTTGTAAGCAGGATATCCCTCTTTCTCTCTCTCTCCTCATTCACAGTGAGAATGTGACGTCGCCTATTGTTTCAACTTATTTTTGACGTAATAATATCATAGTGTTTTTTTTTCTAATGATCTCAAAGTTTTTCCTTTCGGAGATTTCCTTCTGATTGTATCAGGTGTCAGTTTATTTTTTTTATCGACGTGACGCTGATTCGATAAAAATCGAAAAGGGCGATCAAATCTCGACAAATCCGTGTTAAAGAAATTTTATTTTTTATCTTTTTCTTGTTAAAGAAAAATCAAAGGTACGATCAAAAGTAATCCGACACAGAGAGGATCGATACATTCCAGGACACAAAGCGGAAGCGTTAAAGCGGGTCACATTCTTATCGGAATGATAAGAAAAATGCATTATAATAATAATTGTTATTATAATATTAATCTTAATGGCTAAAGGAAAAAAAGTTGACAAACGAATTTGATCATTATTGGAAAAATCTTTTAAAAAGTAGAATTTAAAACGTTGACGTGATAAATTCGATTTTGATTGAATGACTAAAATCTATTAATCGATAGCCTGTTTGTAACATTAACTTAATTTTTCACGTCAAAAAATTCTTTCCCTATATTCGTTATCAGTTATGTACAACGCAAACATTCCAGTTTATTCGATTTTATGCAAAAAAAGGAAAGAAATATTTTTTACATAAATTTTTTTATTAAAAATTTTATGTAGATAATTTCGAATCTGCGAAATCATGAATAATAATTATTTGCAAACAAAATAATAAAACTCGGAGTTAATTTAATGCTTAAAAAAATCTTGCAAAATAAATTTAAAATTGCATTTTATCATTAAAAAAGAGAAAAAAGGAAAAATTAGAATTTACATATATGTAACAAAAAATGTACATACACAAAATTTTTAATTTACATACATTTCTCAGATACTTTATACGAGTACAACGATCATGATATGAGACATTAAAAATGTTTAAAAAATATTACGCATCTATGAATCATAAGTATAATAAAATATTTTGATAGATTTAAACATTTTTATGTGTAGATTACATAAGTGTAACAAAATATATTTGAGTTACTTGCACATAAATCATATATAATATATGATTATGAATAAAATATAATATTTAATAAGATATACAGGGTGAGTCATTTTAAGTGACGGACTAAAATTTCTCGAAAACTATAGGAGATACAGAAAAATGTTTCAGACAAAAGTTGTATGGTTTCAAGGGGGACATAAGATGGTACCATTGGTTTGACCTTGAAGAGTTATTTGAAGGTCACATGAAGGTCACCTTCAATTTCTTAAGTGGAATCTACATTTTCTCTTTACATATTCTTGTAGCTTATCTCGAGAGCTTTCCAAAACACTATAATTAAGTACCTTTTCGTTAAGTACTTTTTGAGTTATAAGGCTTGAAATCATTTCTTAATTTTACATAAATCATAAAATATCTTGTAAAATATTCATTTTTCGATTATCTTATATTACTACTTTTATGTACAAAATAATGAGAGGAATCAATTGGTGTAAAGAAAATATACAGTTGATTTTAAGAAAAAATATGTAATTGTTAATTGCAAATTACATATTTTTTCTTAGAAACAACTATGTGTTTTCTTTACACCAATTGATTCCTCTCATTATTTTGTACATAAAAGTAGTAATATAAGATAATCGAAAAATGAATATTTTACAAGATATTTTATGATTTATGTAAAATTAAGAAATGATTTCAAGCCTTATAACTCAAAAAGTACTTAACGAAAAGGTACTTAATTATAGTGTTTTGGAAAGCTCTCGAGATAAGCTACAAGAATATGCAATGAAAAATAGGGGGTTCCATTTAAGAAATTGAAGGTAATCTTTATGTGACCTTCAAATAACTCTTCAAGGTCAAACCAATGGTACCATCTTATGTCCCCCTTGAAACCATACAACTTTTGTCTGAAACATTTTTCTGTATCTCCTATAGTTTTCGAGAAATTTTAGTCCGTCACTTAAAATGACTCACCCTGTATATATATATATATTTTTTTTTTAAGATGTACAAGTATACGCAATAAAAAAATAAATCATCATCGAATAAAAGATTAAGTGACAGAAAAACTTCCCATCACGAACAATTTTATAGCTTTCGGTGTGCTTATGATGTGCGTTTCATTAAATGCCGATCCATAAAATCCCGCGTAAATAATAGATTCCGTAATCAAATATGACGACATGCATTCCATCGTTAGATGAGAAAACAAATAATGACGATGAAAAACGAATGCACAATTTACACTCGCTTTTCATCCAAAACACCGCAAGCTGTTATCGAAGCGCCTCCGTTTGTCAATTTAACCTCTAGTCTCACATAACACACATATTTTCTGTTTACTCTGCTCCTAATCATAAAATCTTACCGCAATTTTAGATATTTCAAAGAGCTTAAAAAATCTACAAAAATTTATATATTTTTCTCTCTTGACATTTATAGAAAATGATCACATATGATAAAAATTAAAAAATAAATTTTAAACATTAATTTGTTAATTAATATTCCTTCAGATATTCTATTGTTAAAATATTGATAAAATCAAAATGATTCATATGTGACCTTAAGGGTTAATTTAAATGCAACGACGAGAAACGAAGAGAAAGAGAGAGGAAGTGGAAAGGGCGATGGGAACAATAGAGAAATACCGTTGTTAATTTGATATTTGTTTAATTCAACTTTCTACAGTATTGTGCACGTGTTAACGATGTACGTACGTTGATACTTTTGTTATCAAAAAAACGTCACTGGCATTAATGAGCAACAAAAGTTTTAATGACACACAATGATTCATTTATATATCTGTATTTTGTTTCAGATCAATTGCGTTAAATTTTTCATTATTCATTCTACGATTCGTTAACGAAATTTTGATATCAGTCTTTTTGTATTAAAAAGTTGCTAAAATGCCATCTTTTCGAAAATTTTATCTTAACTTTAAATATTACAAAAATATTAAAGAAATATGAATTAAATTTTTGCAAAAGTATGTTTACATAAATGTAATAAAATTTATCTCAAATTATATATTTATTATCTGTTATAATGTAAAATTCTTAATTTATATTTATTTTTAAATTTCTAATTTAAATTTACTTTTCGAAAGTAAGTTTTCTATCTCTTATAACTACAAACTTATCAAGAGAAAAATTTCTTCTGAATTAGTCAGAGGCTATCAATGAAAGAAAACATATAAATTTATATGTGCGAAATTTATAAATTATCTTTAATATATTCCGAAATAATGGAAAAACCTAGAACACTAAGAGTCGCTAATGTTGCACGTTTCATTACGGATAATTTTTGTTTAAATAATTACAACCAACAGACGCATACACGAATATTACTAATGACGATGCTAAATGTCGTTATTAAATGCTTTTAAATTTCTACTATAGCAAGATATTGATGCTGATAATGGCGTAATGTTTACGGATTATCGATAAAGATGACTCTGCAAGCTGGTGATCTTATTTTTCGATATTTTATCTTATGTGTGTGTGCGCGCGCGCGCGCGTATGTGTGTGATTTTTAAGAAAACTCATAATTCATGTGCTAAAATTCATTCTATGAATTTTAAAGAAAATTATGCCTTGTGATTTAAGAATATTTTTTGTGAAATATTCAATTTTTAAGAAATATTAAAGAATTAAAAGATATATTGAGATCTTAAAGATGAATTTTTTACGTCTAGAAATAAACTAAATATAGTAAAGAATATTCTGTTTCAACTACATGTTATTATTCCTTAACCCAATTTTCATACAGAATATTATTATTGAATGTAATTAGCACATTTATATATCAAATTAAAGTTATTATTCGTTTTAGTATATGAATCCTTAAAATAAATTATAATTAAAATATGATATCTCTCTTTTATTTTTCTGTAATATTTTTTAAATATAATATAATATAATATTTTAAAATAATTTATTGTTCTTGTATTCCTGTTATTTTTATCAAAAGCTTGAGAGATATTCCCGTAGTTAGAAAATATTTCAAATATACTTGTGTAATGATACTTCATAAAAGATACTTTTATCAAGATATTTATGCGCGCAATTTTTATTTATAGTAAAATATTTTAAAAATCTTTCTATTTCATCTTTCTTTCTACTCTATCAAATTTAACTATAGTAAAGTAATATAGTATTGATTTTACACACACACAGGTATGTAATAAAATCGATTATTCATTCATCTTTTTTTATCATTAGTCATGTATACGTAGGCATATTTTAAAAATATTTCAAAGAGGATTAAAAAAAAATGACAGTCATCTGATTGCAATAAAACCGAAGTCTCGAGGACATGACCTATTCCGAACGCACAGCAAGGATTATAAATGGAGTTTGCCGCTTCCTCCTTCCTTCCATCTCTCTTTCTCTTAATTAAACGTTGATCCTCGAACGTTCTCCCGAGAGAAGCCGTTCCTTTTCTCTTTTCCGTTTCGCAAACGGCAGAGCTCGCTTTTCAATTTCCCTCACAGCTGTTGCCCGTTGCAACTGTGACAGTGTGTGCACGTACATGTGCACGTGCGCGCACATCTTGTTGCTATCTGCTAGGTATGTACCTGTGGCTTGACTCAGATCGATGAGATAACCTAGCTATCTATTTTCTTTTGCAGCGTCGAATCCGATAGTCGGATCTGACTGTTGCCGGACCGAAGAAACATTCATCCGGACGAACATCAAGCGATTTTGTCCGTTTTTGGATCATCAGATCTAAGGCTGCTTTCCATTCCTTGTTGCCACCTACGATTTCGCCGTCGACGATTTATCTTCCACGACTTCCGCCAAGATCGTAAATTCACCCGGAAGGGAAACGTTTGTCGGGAAATCCGGCGAGCTTTAATGATAATAGCGACCGTTATATCCGCCGAGGAGTTTATCGACGACGAATCTAGACGCGCGTTGGATCTGTCGTTTCTGACCGGAGTCTCTTCTTTGGGACTAATAATCCCTTAAATTACGAAGAATGGAGGAATCCTCTCAAATTATCGATTACGATTTTCCGTAAAGGATAATTTAACGCGTGTTTCTGGAGGCAGGTGAAGATTTATCCTCGGCAACGCTATCATCAGCCGTGCGACAGGACGAATGCGCACGAAATCAGAGAGAGAGAATGCTCGGTTGGTCACTCTGGATATGGGATGATATCTCGCGCATCGACGACAATGGGACGGTAGATCGAGATCGGTAAACGCAAAATGGATTGGGCACCTCGGATCAGGTAGCCAGGAACCGACAAAGACAGTCGTGCGGCCAGCAATCAATTGTCAAGGGGAATCATTCTAATAAACCTTGTCTCCGTGAACATCCGCGCTCTCCGATCGTCACGTTTCCGTATAAAACTGCCCCATATTCTCGGAATAAATTTTTCTATTCCTTTCTCTTTCTTTTTCCTTCAGAGGAAAAGATTGACTCGACTCTTCCTTGTGATCTTTAAGACTGTTCTACATTATTTACTCCCTACTGTTTGTCACTTGTCATCGTTTATCAAAGTAAAGACTGAAATTTAAGTTGGTCGGTTCATCGGTCAATTCGCGTAATCGATCTTTGGTCTCGCTATCTATTTTTCTCACTCCCGCGAAACGGAACAAATTATCAAAGTTCAAAAAGTCACAAAAATCACCAAAATTGCGGAGCTTTTTCGCATCTCACGCGCATTCGATCATTCTCATTTTGGAAGACTGATCAAAATACGAAGACTGATTTGCTATTGCCCCGCATTAATTTACCCCAACAATCGAGAAACAGAACAACAGATCACATATCTTTACGCATACATATCCTGCGAGATCTTCTCAATCCGATTAGTCGTCGAATCGTTCACGCGAAGTTGTCGGAGACTAAATATCGGACGTGCTTCGCGAAATAGATTATATGTGCTGTGATATATGGCATATATATACAGACACGAAAAGGATATGTACATGTGTATGTATAAGTGAGGAAGGTTCCGGATGTTGCCTAATGTACACGAAGGAAGTGGCGTATAGCGGAAGTCACTTGGTGAACGGCCATATAAATTGGAACGCATCGATTTTCCCTCAAGATCAACGATGATGATGATGATGACGACGCGAATACCGGACAAGCCGTCGCGATAAAGTGATCGATCCGTGATACATTACGGACGCGTGATATTTAGTGACGTAAAGTGAGAGTCAGTGTTACTGCTGCATGAGGACGTAAGGGTACAGGATGGGTTGTGGACAGAGCAAGATCGGCAACATTTATCCGAAGAACAAGAAGAATAAAAACAACAGCGCGAAGAAAAACGGCGATTCCATCCGTGAGTAGAGAGATATTTTAAAGTTTAAAATTTAGAAAAAAAAAATTATTTCTATAGTTGAATTTTTATATAGCAATAATTTACTTTTTAATTAATGGTCTTTTTTATGGACAGAGTTACTGCTATTAACATTTCGTGAAATAATGGAATAATGTAAAATAGGATAATGATTTTCTTTTAATCGCAATCTTAATATTTGGCACCAAACTAATTTCAAAATTTTCATTAATATGATAAGTATGTTTTCCATGATTTATTTTTATTCAATTCTATACTTTCGCAATTTAACTAAGATTAAGAGGAAATTATATTAGAAATTCAAATATAAAATATATATGTAACTACAAGTTCTTTCAATGAAATCATACTCGATAATTCGGATTCATTATCGAACAGTGATTTATTCAATAGGGGGAATTTTAGTCTGAAAATAGAACGGCATTATAATTCAGAAGTGCATTAAAATTTCAACTCTTTGGAGTGCAACTCGAAACTCCTATATAATTCCGTTCATTGGAATATCTATCTAACGGAATCCTTTGAAGCGCGCTTTGTACTCCTACATTCGCTTTGCTTTTACTTGTACGGTACCATGTAACAAAAGATCATAGATATTCTATTTTCACTGATGCAAAATTTTATTAATTCAAAAAGTTGCACAATGCAAAAAATTAATTATTACACATCTATACTAATATATACGCATATATACAAATGTATAGATTTATTTATTTTTTTTTAATTAACATTTCCATGTGTTCAATATTTGAATTAATTGTTAACTTGTACAGAAAGTTAAAAAATTCAAATTTCATTCTGTCTCGACATATTTGAATTTGTAATAATTTCCCGTTCTTTCACAGAACGATACATTTTTTAAGGAAAAATATATTACATTCTTATCAAGTAATTTGCGGAATGTTAAAATTTAAAAATGACAAATAATATACATTATGACATATGTTTTCAACATATGTGTTTGACTCAAACAGGTAATAAATTAAAAGTGCCTGTCAAAAAAGCCGTTACATGATTATGGTCGCGTATTACTTTACGTTTATCAATTTATCAATTATCGTAATATCATTATCTCGAATATAAACACATAGGTATTGCATAATCTTCAAAAAAACTCAATTTGAACGGCATAAAGTCATATGTGATAGCTTGATTGTAAATGAAGTGTCTCTCACATATCGATACATCAATCATGCTATCCGGCTAGATTCATTCGACGAGATTTAGATATAAATCAGCGTGCTTAATTTATACTTATTGGACATAGTATGGCTTTCTCGCAAGCGTGTCAACGTACACGTACGCACGCGTGTCCTCGATCGATTTCTAACGCATTGATGTACTTGAGGTAGTTTAGGCTTTAGGTTAAACCGAAAAGCAGGTCATTCGACATCAGATTGACACTTAGGGTAGATATAGCAGTGATTAATTGCTTAACAATGAATGTCTCTCTTTCTCTCTCTCTTTCTCTATTGAAGCTATATAAAAGCTATATAAAATAATTATATATTTAATATATAATTATTATATATTATTATATTATTATATATATTATATTATATATATTATTACATATTATTATATAATTATATTATATATATATTTATATATATATAATATATATAATTTATATATATATATATATATATATATAATTTATATATATATATATATATATATATTATATATATATTATTATATATATTATTTTATATATAAAATAATTATACATCTTTTTTCGAAGATAAAAATGTATGGTATGTTTTATTACAAAAAATTTTCAATCATTTTATAAATAGTACATATATAATTATAAATTTACTACTAGTCATAGTTGCATTTTATGTTAAATTGAGGACGTTAAAGTATTATATCTTCATATTGAAATATTGAATAAAATAATATCTCTTTATTTACCGACAAAGTCGATGCATTTAATGATATCTCTTAAGTAATAAAGCATTACCATACATGCACGTGATTTCGTTTCGCAGCACGTTTCTACGTTTAATTCACATATGCTACTAAAAACAATATCATTCTTTAGGAATAATCGACTTTCACAGACTTTCTCATATACGTTTCCGAAAGTCAATCATTATCTTTTTATTAATGATCAATCTTGTTCTAATCTTCTAATTTCTGTCTTTCTCAATAGTAGTCGATTAATTTCAAGATCTAAAAGAGATTCATGGTTGAAATAAATTATAAAAAAACGATAACGTTTGTAATAAATTTTTGATTATGGGAGTATACCACGGCTATTTCCATTCGAAAAAAATTCTATTGCATTCGGAGATTAATATTTATGAGAGAGAACGAATGATAATTTATTCTAAAAAAATCGATTTTTTTTAAAAGATGAATCGTTTCAACCAAGAGCAAAGAGAGCACATATAGATGTAAAAATCATCTATATTTATTCTAATTTTATGATATGCATTTTTTTCTCCGCATGTCAGATTCTGAGTTAACGGAAATTCTTAACGGAATTTCTTTAACGGAATTTCTTTATTCCTTACATTCGAACTGCGATGGATAACACTGGTATATATTGTCCACGTATTATCACAGAAGGCAGAAATAACAGATTACGGACAGATAAGATCTGCATACAGATCTCAGTTCGTCGCAATATATCGTCACGTGATATCAGTTAGGATATGACAAGACGCGCATTGTCAGCACGTTTCAAGTCATGAAATAATCCGATGCCGTTTGCGGTAACTCGAGATAGTAACAATCACAGTGGCGGATTTAGGTGCAGGTATAATGCTTTGGTATAGGTCTTCTCCTCTTTAAGAATTTGCAAGTCAGAAAGTTATCTTTTATTTCATACAGGTATGTACCTATATGCAAAGTCTCTATCGATAGATAATATTTTTTGGTCCGTCTGTACATTTTATTTAATATAATATAAACATATCATTTAATTACTATTTAATTACCATGTATAATTATATAATTGTACGATTAAATAAATTTATTATATTTTTATTATATTAAATTATATTAAATTGTGAATAAATGTTATAAAAATATTTGTGAAAGAATGAAAAAATATGAGTTGCATATATTAGTTATATCTGTAAATTTGCAGTGATTGGTTTATCTTTGCTTAGAAGTCGAAAGAGACATACATATAAGTTTTTCAATGGATAGGTACACGCAATTTGAATCATAAAACGAGAAGTAGTATTGAGGAAACTTCGCTATTAATATGCAAATTTTTTATTTTTACCTTTTGCGATCGATAACGCAGTATAAAATGTTTGCATCTTTTTTGTTATTCATGCAACGTGCATAACATTAAGCGGCAAAGTTTAGGCTTTAATAGATACATCACTGATGATAACGCGAGGCACGGAAGACTTATCGCATGACGCGTAGAAATCTTTATTGCAGAAATGCGTTCTGCGTTTCTCTTTAAGCTCGATAAATTTGTTTACGTAATTATTCGTTCGTTGTTTACAAAATCGCACAAAAACGATCGGCGCCGAGAAACACGCGGCGAGAAACATACATCAATTTAGAATTATTCAGAAGCGCGTCTTCTCGATGCAACCAGTTGCATTCTCAAATACTTGTAGCGATACGACTACAAATAAAATTTTTCGAAACGTGTTCAAGAGAGATAATAGAATGACTAACAATAAATTAATAAAAGAAAAGTAAGCCAAAGAACATTGTATTTCTGAAAATAATTAAAAGAAGATTAATAAAAAAAAGGAAACAACGGGTGATAATAACGAGTGATAATAAAATTAAGAATATGATATTCGATAATTTCATATCATATTCAGCGAGTAGCAAAAATAATAATTCATATCAAAATGTCAAAATTCTTAACAATTACTTATACGATTTATAAATCTTGTTATATTATTTAAGGAAAAAAAGAACCTTTTAATCGGAATGTGCAGATCTATAATAATACTTTGACGCATTTTGTATGTTAAAATTTTGCGTATGTAGAGTGTACGTGCACTGTATACATTCGAGATTTATCCGAGCAGATGAGGACTGAACGTGCGTCCTTTAATCGTGTACCGGAACGTGACTACTTGTTTACCGGCTCCACGAGCTAAATATACATTACGATAATATACTTATATTCGTGTATCTCTGAGAAATGTTTTCGTTTATGTATATATTCTCCGAGAGTCTCTTTTGACCCATATTGCATGCGCGTTTTCTTATCTCTTATTTTTCTGAAGAAAAAAAAGAGTATATAAAAAAAAAGACGAAGATTAATAAACTCGTCCATTTATTTGTCACTTATTTCGAATCTCAATAAATATTTGTACGCGAATTTTATTAAAATTTTTAGGTAGATAACGCGCCTACAACCACTTACATGTATAACTATCTTCAGTCGTATCAGAAATGCTTATAACGATAAGCGTTGTTTTCATTAAAACGTTATGTTCGCTGTGCGTAGCAAGGAACTTGTTATGTTTGTAATGTTTATATATTTAGAAAATGTAGTTGGCTAAAGTTATATAATATTAATTTCCTTCCGACATAATGTAATATAATAAACATTTTCAGAGAGGAAAAACAGAAGCGACACACTTACAAAAATATCACAACGTGTATATGTTCGTATAAATTAATGATTGAAAAAGTTTCCTTTTCTACGTAAATAAAAAAATATCACAAGATATGTAAATGTTGTAAACAGCCGTTATCATCATATAACGTTTCCTCTTTTTATCACCTCTTAGTTATTTTGACGACTTTTCGAATAATCAATTCGATCGTTTCTCTTTCGGACACGTTCCCGCCAAATTTTTTTTCGCCGCTCAGAGGGGAGATTCGCGGGTCTTTCAACCCTTGGAAGGGACGTCCCTTCGTCCTTCGTTCTCGTCGCTCTTACGGCGCAGCCACACAATGGATGACGCATCCCTCGCTTCCTGAATAGGCGCGCTCGTGCCCTCTCCGGGTACCCCAGGCTCGCCGTCCCGACTGGGTAAACAAGG